AGACTTCATCACGGTATGAAAAGATATGAAAAACGCGCGAGAAATCTATGTGCATGGAATTCAGATGTCTGATTTTCAGTTGTGATTGTGTTAGAAAATTAGAAGTTCGAGGTCATCAGTTATGAACAGCGGGGTTCCCTTTTTTGCAAAGTTAAGCAAATATTTATGATCTGACTACATTTCAACACTCACGACAATGAAAAGACCAGAACCACGGTGAGTTGTGGTACTGAAGTCCGTGATGCAAAGAATTCTGCTGTCCGAACTACCTTACATGTTGCCTTGACTTTACATCAAAAACTAAAAGATGAAATTAGCTTTTTTTCTGTAGTCCAAACTACGGTAAACGTTGTCTTGACTTTTTTCACCGAAAAACTATAAGATGAAATTAGCTTTTTTTTACAATTCAAACTATGGTAAATGTTGTCTTGACTTTTTACATCAATGAACTGAAAGATGAAATTAGCTTTTTTCTGTAGTCCAAAGAATGGTGAACGTTGTTTGGACTTTTTACTCCAAAAAACCAAAAGAGGAAATTAGCTTCTTTGGCTACCAAAAACTAATTGCAATCTTCGGTTGAAATGCAGGAAGTTTTCCATGAATTTCAAGAATTTTACATTGAAGAGTACTAATTTGAGAAAACAAACTGATTGAATTTGTGCAATAATGTGTGGTAATAGCTCCGGGTACTGTCTCCGTCTATCCCATCTAAATAGAAACTAGCTTTTCCAAATTTTTCTTTCCTTTCCTTTCTCAAAAATTAATGTTATTTGGGATTTCCATCTTGTGTCTTTCTCGATGTTATTTGATGATATGGATAAGATCTACTGGCATAAGTAAGCATTATGGCATAAACATGCGAAAATGATCTATTGAAATGTAATTTTTGAAGCTTATGAGCAATTGCGATGGGAACGACTTGGAAAAATCTTCTCATGATCCCTATATGAATCAAAAAGGAGTCTCGCTAAACCACAAAATGAACGACTTGAGAAGCTCGATCGTTACACAACATTCGAACTTCTTTGCATGAAGCACTTTTTTGCGGTACGTATTCCCGTTACGACGCGATGAAACACCTGTTTGAGACACATTCAAGACATGTAGTTTTACGATTGGCACATTCGGCTCCATTCAAGGACGTCTAGTCCGAAACACTCATTGTCCGTCTGGTAGCCCTCCTTCAGCGGTATTCGCTTGTCTCATAAAATGCAAATAATTTTACTAACTGGGATCTGTTTTGCATGACCGAACAAAATTCAGTTTGGTGTTTCTTTCCAAAAAATTCAGTTTGTGGCTCGAAAAATTATAGAAATGTAGAGCCATTCGCTGCAACTTTGGTACGTATTTTCGCCATTGATTGATTTAGTTACTTATTTACCTACTAAACATAATTATCTAAATCAAATGTCTCGAAATATTGAAAACATGAAAGAGAAAATGATAAGAGAAGAGAGGATAGAGGGCCAACAAATGAGAAGTTTTGGCATTGCTTCGTAGAGAATCTAACCGGTATCAAATAAATGATTATTCTACTGAATATATGATATAGATGCTAATTGTTGAATGAGTATGAAAGTGCTAAATTGTAGGTAGTGCCTCAAAAATATTCAATGCGTATGCTGTACGTATCTTTTAATACAAGTTATATTACAACAATCTTCGCTCAAAAACTCTTCTTGGCGCAAAATTGCTTTCAAATCAGTTTTAATTGTCCAAAGATCTGCTTTCCATTCATCTGCAAACATCACGTTCAATTCCATGAGAACCCGGCTTGAAATATGCTGTTGTAAATTGTTTCTAAAGTGTTTTGCCCTATCCCATGTATGTACACATTTCGGTAAAAGAAACTAAATCGAATTGAAAGTGCCACCGTTCGCAGCAGTGATCAACTACGTGATGTGACCAAAAGCAAGTTCTCGAACCGAACATCAGAGTTGAAAACCGTTTTCTCGTTTTTTGCCATCTTCACTACCTATTGATTGACATCAATGCTGAGACAAAGTGTCAACTGCACTAATCACATACAAAGTCTTCATCGTGGCATTTGTTTCAGTGATTCACTTGCTATATAAGGAACTTTTGCTCCAAATCTATCACTTTCCTGGCTGCGATGGGCATATCAGTAAGATTCTTATGGTGTCTACTGAGACTTAGCAATTGCAAAGATTTAATTCCGAACAAAGCATTCAATGTGAATTAACCTAATTTCACGCGTATAAGGTGCACTTTTTCAAATTTTCAAGCGAGCCGCTAAGCCGCTTCACTGTATTCCGATCCTTACATCGCACGATTCTGCCAACCAATATACAGCACGTTATAGGGTCTTTTGGTTGTGAAGTCCTTTGGCTTGTCTGGGCTGGTCAGTTTTGGAAAAAAAATCCCCCACGCCTTGTACGCGTGAAATTAGGGTAGTTCTTGCTAAAACGTGTTATCAGATGATGAAGAAACAGACCTTTTTGAAAAACTTCATGCTTGCTTCCTGGACTTGGTTGCAATAGAGAAAGACCGACCCGTTTTTCTCGGTTTTTTCGGTATCGCATTCTTCTCCTGAAATATTTCGAAATTTTTCATCAAAAGCTTTTTTTAGGGTCTGTTCAGCTTCAATATGTTTCTATCGAAAATACGTAATATTAGGTTGTTACATAAGTTTTGTTACACTTATTGAAATCCTCAAAACTTTACCAAATGGTCTTTTTTTATTTTCAGCTTATGTGCAGTGCAGTGTTGCAGATTTTGATATATACACGTCAAAAATAAAAAATCATATTTTTGAATTATAATATTTGATTTTAATTTTCAATTTGATTATTGAAAATTTCCCAAGTGTCTTACTATTATCACCATTGCTCCAAAAATCCATGAAAAACCTAAAAAGATGGAAAAAAAGAATAAGAGAGCTTTTAAAAAATAAAGAAAATTGGAGGTTAGAGTGCTCTTATAAAGTTGCCTTTATATCTACTACTAGCTGGCATACCCGGCTCCGCCGTATGTTCCGAAAAGAAAATTCCATTTCTTAACCGATCCGAACCAAACTTGGCACACACACACTTCGGGCCCCGGCGGGTGTCACAGTCCACTTTTCGTTATCGATTGATGTCGATTTTATCGATTTTTTGCAAAATTTGAGCTAGGGGGCTGGGATTTGGCACAGGGGGTAATCGAGCATGCTGATTATGAATACAATATTAGTTTTCGAAACCGTGCATTACTTTTATCGATTTTATCGATTTTTTTGCAAAATTTGAGCTAGGGGCTGGAATTTGGCAGGGGGGTGCAATCGAGCATGCTGATCATCCCCACGGGGATGATCAGCATGCTCGATTACCCCCCTGTGCCAAACCCCAGCCCCGTAGCTCAAACTTTGCAAAAAATCGATAAAATCGATAAAAGTAATGCACGATTTTAAAAACTAATATTGTATTCGGGATCCCCATGCTCACTTACCCCCCTGTGCCAACTCCCAGCCCCGTAGCTCAAATTTTGCAAAAAATCGATAAAATCGTTATCGATCGATACGAAAAGTAGCCTACCCGCCGGGACCCGAAGTGTATGTGTGCCAAGTTTGGTCCCGATCGGTTCAGAAATGGAATTTTCTATTCGGAACATACGTACATACATACAGACATACAGACAGACATACAAACAGACATTCAGCTTTATATATAAGATAAGTTATGTCTTGAGGACATAGATGGTGCCAGCGAATAGCGCTTTATTCCTTCTCTACACATGTATGCCAAAATGAGACCTTGTCGAATTTTTAAATGTTTTTCGGAGGAAGACGAAGAAAATGTAACAAAACTTACGCGACAACCTAATGTAATGAACTTCCCAAAAATGACTTGAAAAAACACTTCAAATTTAATCACATCCTTAATAACGTTTTTTTACTACTTTATTCGAAATTAATTCCATCTGCAATTTCATGATAACAAGCGCTGAGTCATATCCTAATAACCTCTTGAATTCGAAAAATTCAATTAAAAACGCAGTTCTAGTGCATTAGAAGTACTGACATCTGCAAAATGTATACCTCGCCATTAGCCAAGGCTGACTAATTATTTTTTGAAATTCCCCCGCTCACATCCTAACAAGTTCCTGAATTCTCAAATTCAAATCATGAACTCTTAATTCTAATGCATTAGAAATTCTCCTTCTGCAGATCTTAAATAGCTCAACATTAAGCGAGAGCTACACATTTTCTAAAAATCACTTCTCACTTTGTATAAGAAAACTATGAAAATATTTACTACCATCACCATTCGATCAGAGTTGGAAAAATCAAGTCCACAAGACGGGAACTAAACGAACGAATTGTGACTGTCAATATGTCAATTATTTCTTGAGTAATTCAAGATGCAATGTTACCCTTTCGATGGCCGAGGACAGAATGATTGAATTACACCCATCTTAAAATCATATCGTACACCATAACTATGTAGGACTGATATAGAATTTTTAGATAATTTTTTCAATTGTTCGTTTTTTTTTACAAATACACCGTAACAGAATCAAGACGACTGAATATTTATCTTCTCCTGACTAGAAAGAACTTTTTTAGAGTGCCATACGAAATGGTAGGCAAAATAATAATAATTATATCTTCCAAATCACAGATCCAATACCAATAAATTCTTCCAGTCTTTTGCACACCATTCATGACTAAACGATCGTGCGTAATATAAATTCAAGGGTACTAAAACCATAAGTAACGCTCATCCTGCTTAAATATGTAAATCTGTGATATTATGCGAAAAAATCAAAAATACCAACAGACACACCCTTAACCATAAGGATATCATGCTTATTCACCAAATTGATTGTACTCAATTTTCTCGTTTTGGAAAGGTTCCTGACTCTTTTTCCACTTTTTTTGAATTTTGGATGTAGTTTTCAGTTCATCGCATATGAGTCACTCACTGAATCATCTCTTTTCGTAGGTGGTCTATAATTAGGACTACCGGGGGTTCAAGGAAAGTTGTTTTTTGGGGTGATTGAGAATGTTCAGTCTTATTCGCCTAGCTATTCACACTGCTGTCATACATAGTATATGCCTTCTCCATTGAATCTGAATAGATTTACTGCGGATTGCTATGTAAGTAGCTTTCATGTTTTTTAGGGCGTAACCAAAAATTGTGGACTTTTTACCTTTAGTGATTAGAAAAGCTGTTGCCCATGCACCTTCAAAAAACTCCTTCGAAACAAAGAAATCTAATCCCGAGTCTCGCCCAGTACCGTACTTGAGAACTGATTGGTCGGAGTACGGTACTGGGCGAAGGCTGCCACAAATGAATTATATGAGCTATCGCATGAGCAGTATCCTGGAAAAGGCCTCCCAATCATCTGACTTTCATTATAAAATGGTACCTACACTGTTGAACTTTAACGTAATGTTCAAGCATGTGTTGCTCACTGAAAAATTCGAACTTTAGAAAAATAATTTCATCGGAGTATTGAACAAAGTTACAAGTTTGAAGGCTTCAACTTGAACCCATCTGGTTTACAGATTTATGGCTCAGTCAATGAAAAGTTCCCTATCTTCGAAATCCACACTATCCACATTCTCCCTCACTACTCGCAGAATTTCTTGCGTATTTATGAATCAGTGTCTCGTTATCATTGTTGCTTCTGCTGAAGTAGAAAAAATATTGAATCATAAGTAACCTGCACCCTTTATCACAATTGCAGCTGAGCAGTTTTTCTAACTGCACTTGCTTCTGTGAATATGTTGGTGACGTGCAGAAAGGGCGGTTACCTTGCACCTGATACTCATGTGGTACGAATGGCATTCTATCAAATGTCACTTTCGCTTCCTTGAGTTTTTTTTCGTTCTTCTGTTACTGACAATGAGTGATAACAGTCAGCAAGCCCTCATGCCTTAACTTCGGCATTCGCAACGCTTCCATACGAGTTCCTGCAATTGCACTAACATATTTATTCATACTTAACGGTCTACAATGAAAACCGTGATGATCTCGAGTAAAGCTCCGTTAGTTGTGGATGTCGACGTACTTCGAGATATAGCTCCACTGACGAAGATTCATGACTTCTTTTTGCCAGCTGCAAGCTCCAAAGATTGGGAGTTCGGTCTGAGTTCGCGAACCGTCTTTGACTTTCGTGCAAGGATCACCGGTGGACCAGCCACGGTCTCTCCCACCGGATACTCCTCCTCTTCTATCCTTGATCGTCGGAATAGATCAGAGCCAAAAATTAGCCGACCACTCGCGGGAAGAATGAAGATAGAAGTGCAATTGCACTACTTTTTGAAAATGCGCTGGCAAGCCGACAAGCTCATAGCAACACCCTTCCTTCTACTTTGTGCGATTGGTGTATTGTTTTTGCCGTTTTGTAAATCCGCATCTCGAAGTAGTGCAATTACACAGGTGACGGTTAGAGGTCGAATTATACTATCTGTGTTTACTTGTACGCGCCTACCTTCTTTTAACTGTTAAATGCTGAAAACTGTGATCAATATTTTTTTCTTTATCCACTATCTTTGCACATCGTACTTTGATTTTTCAATGGGAATCTAGGCCTCTCCTCCATAGTTATCCTATTCATCATCCATCAAACATTCATCGGCGTTATGAGGACATTCCCTCAGACAATCCATGACTCTTGACAAATGCCCTTCAATCTTTTTAAGACCATAAGAGTCAGAAGATTTGAGAAACTTCGAACTATAGTGGTACTTTGCTCCCTTCTTTAACCTTTTGGGACCTGGTGGTGGCAATTGCCACCACCAACTTCAAAGGGCATTGTTACTGGCGCAACAGCAGATTTCTACTACTTATTGCTACAGATAGCTTCAGACAACCTTTGTCTTCCTAATAGTGATTTGCAAGCCCCATTTCATCCATGGTGGTACTAGCAATGAGGGACTCTTCGTGCGCAACTGACAAGGGAACCGTGTCGAGTCGAAGTGGCCTTTCCAGATGAGACCCACACTGCTTTGAAGAGTATTGCACAGTGATTTCAAATCTGCCTTCCAAATCTGCCAAGCGCCTCTGGACGCCGAGTTATGACCGTTCTTAGGAACGAAAAATGAATGCAGAATTTAGGTAAAATTGATTGTTACAATCTCTCCAGCGCTCAGATAAAGCAATGTTAAGTATTAGCATATTAAATAAAATGTATCCATTGCATAAACAGCTCTAATACTTGACAATGAACTATTTGAGCAAATTTGGGCGATTTTGCTTCAGTTTTGCGTTTAATTTTTTGACCTGAAAAACGAACATAACTCGCCGTCCAGAGGCGCTTGGCAGATTTGAAAAGCAGATTTGGAATCACCGATTAATGCTCTTCAAAGCAGCGTGGGTGTCATCTGGAAAGGCCACTTCGACTCAACACGGTTCCCTTGTGAGTGACAAAAAATCGATAACGGTTGTCTGCCGCAGCATCTGCTGAAAAAATATCAATTATTTCCCCTGATAGTTGAAATGAATTTACACTATTAACTGAAGTGTGGAGTATGATTTCACGCGAGCACATCTGCTATGAGTACGCGATTTCATCTTTGTCGAGAAAAATCAGAAAATTGAATGAAGGTTGGTAGAATAGATTAAAAATAAAAACGTCTTGTTGTTGAAAAAGTTTCAAACTTCGCTGTATTGTTATTCAAACGCTACCCTATCATAAGCAGTAGGTGAGCAGTTCTCTCTCTTACTCGGAAAAAGTCAGGTCCTAAAGGGTTAAGCAAAGGCACAGCTGAGCTATTTCATGTATTGCCACAGTTTGCGGTTCTGAGCTGACAAGCTACTCATGCCTTTTACAACATAGTCTTTATCGGGAGCACCTAAAATGTATCGGCCCACAGTATCTCCTCATCAAGAGCCCATATATTAATATATTAGGATGTGCCATAATTTTTTTAAGCCTGTTTACACTAAACATCAGCATCTTTCGAGAGCTGGAGCACCTAAAAAGGATACAAATACATGGTCATACTTTCGTAACCTTTGATGCAACTCGCTTGGCACCATTAGGGCGGGATTTTGTGATCTAATTGAGGCCGCTCGCGCCCGCGACGCACCTGCGTCTCTCTCGCGCGAGTGCTCTCTGATCATTACCTAGCCTTAATTAGGTCACGAAGCCCCGCCTTTGCCGATGCCAAGCCAATTGAATCAAATGGTATGTATGAGCTATACGATCACATGCGTGGGACGAGCTCAGGACGTCTAGGGGCGGGGTTTGCCATTTTACTCCATTCATTTTTTTCCTTACTTCATGGAAAGAATATGGAAAGTGTACAATTGAGTATTCGATGTGTCAAGCATATGCTAGGACAAATTGGGAATTTTTATGATTTTTGGGGTGGCTATGATTTTCGACGGTAGTCATTTTTTGACTGCTATCAAATTCCAGCTCAGAGCTGTGGAATTTTGTGCAGACTTTCAATAACCATCATATAGAGCTTGCTTTGCACTGTCCAATAATTACTCAAGCCACATTAATTGGAGAAAGATACAAAAAGACGATGGTTGTAGTAAAAACAATAATTTAAGACACCTTAATTTTCCATGACGAATTACTGACATAATTCCAAAAAGTGGCCAGTGTCGCCTTATTTTCTCTAGTATCGATCATAAATGGCTCCCAAGCATGGATCACTGAGCATTAGAATTGTACATTATTGCGTCTAAAATACCCATGCGATGATTTAGAAGAGCGGAAACAATTGCGCGTTCTTTGACTCCTAACCGTCTATGGCGGTCTCATTGTTTCTTCAACCTCTAGTGTCGTTGAAGCACTTACTCGGCCAGTTGAGAAAGGCGTGAACATGACCGAAGTGTTAAAATCTCCGTTTGTGTTTGGTAGAATCGATGAATCATTCCGGGTATCGACTACTGAAGAAGTACATAAGGTCGTCTGCATTCTATACAACTGGCTCTCTGTGATTCTTCCAGCGTTATTTTATCGCAATTCTTCGCATAACAAACTGCAAGTAACTGTTCTGTAACAAAGGCATTGTTTACACAAGACTTAATGCATTTCACTCATTTCGCTTCCGCTGACTCATAGAAGTTCTTTGCAAGTTTTATAAGTTGTTCTCATTTTTGCTTTTATTACACACTTTTCCCTTTGATTTCTTGATAGCTTTGTATTGCTTTAATGAAGGAGTAAAAGTGTCATTTCATTTATTTGCTTTGAATCTCGGCATTCTTGTTTGAAATTTTCTTCGTCCTTTATTCTGTTACTTTTTATCTTTTGACTTTACAATGACATCCTCCGAAGTTTCGTTGCGCAGTGTTAAAGTGAAAAAGTAAAGAATGGATATCTGATTATGATGAAATTCGAAGTGATGAATTTTTCGTGACAAGGGACTGTCTTTCCTGACAAAATGGTGTATGATTTGGTTGTAAACTATTTATCTTTCGAATTAATCAGAGCCATTCACAAACAATAAAGTTCACATAGTTGAACGCATTTTTTAGGAAAATTATCTTTAAAGAGTATCAATAGGCTAAAAACTCGGCGGATTTAGGGGACAAACTAGAGCTTTTCATGCCTTTATCTTCTTGCAGTTTACAAAAAAAGCGACGCATCTCGAAACGCTAGTTTTATATGTCATACTAATCATTTGCTGAATCGTCCAGAAGAAGCTATGTACTTTTTTATGACAAAAATTGTGCAATTCTTCACAATCAAACTCGTTCACTTTTGCCGAATTTATTGCTTCATGATATATAATATTAGGTTGTCCCGAAAGTTTTGTCGGTTTTTTCATCGCTCACTAAAACCCAAAGAACACCAATTCATGGACGATCTAGGTATCATTTAATTCAGAATTTTATACTCTTTCTTACTGCTGTATTTGCTTTCTGATCTACCCTGTCTTTGCAATATTATCGCCATGGCTTTTTAAGCAGTCCATCACTAACGCCAAATCTTTCCTGGATTTTAAAAATTTTTATACTGCTGTTTCCGAAAAGCGCTGGTAACTGTTACGTAGAGCAAATCTTTGGCTACATTGTGTTTACTTTAGATTACATGGATCACGTTTATCAAGTCCTTTATAATTATTTATTCAAGAAAAACCGCGGTTTTTTGATTACGTCTACTACCGAAAATTCCAAAAAGCGATTTTTCAAAGCAAATTAAACTTGGCTATGTTGTATAGTTATTATTTATTAGCAATCAAGTTCAAATTCGCAAAAATTTCAGGAGCTTTCATGTTTTTGCTGCGGTTGCGTGGTTCATGACTTTGCCAAAAATTGAGACCTCCGAAGAAATAATTTTTTGAAGCTAAAGACAGCATTTTAGGAGAATGTAAAAATACCGTCTTATAGTCCGAAAATTGTTCTATTTGTGCCATACTAAACCACCTCCGGAACATTGGAATGAAATTTTTAAAAATTAGCCTAACTTTTTGCAGATAAATATGACGGGTGATGAATTGTAACAAATATCAAAAAAAGCATACAGGATTATTGCTAGAAAATGTAACCTTAAGAAAGAGAAGGAAAAGCTGCATCGAATGCATGTTGAAACTCACTCAGGTCTTTATTGTACATAGTTTTATAGCAGTTTGAAAAAACCGACAAAACTTTCGGGACAACCCAATAGAACGAATTCTACGGCAAACTATAAGTATACTTAGATTCAAATGGATTTATCAGCAGCGGTGGTCCTTGGATTTCCCTTTGAGGAAGCGGCACCAAAAAAACTTTTTTTGTATGGTGCGTGACGTTAGCTACACACCTTGAAAAATCTTTTGGGATACTTCTCAAAATTTACATGGGCCCTTACTATATGGTTACAGTAACGCCGCGGCAACGCGAAGAGAACGTTGTTATCTCTTGATAGACTTTGCATCCAACCTTTTCTCAAAATATGCAATGATTATCGTGCAAAGGATCACTGCGCTGTATAAGATGCCGCGAGCCGAGCAAGCTAGGCAGAACATTGCTTTGTCATGCCAAAAAAGCTTTTATCAATCAAATCAATATTTGCGCCATAACAGCTTCTACCGTTTCATCATTTATCTGTGCATCTTGCTGAATTAGACGAAATAGTTATTTGTATTTTGTCGCTTAATTGTGCTTTTTACACACTGATTCAAAAAATGGTTCATACTATTTTCTCGTTTTGCGCATACATTGTCATAAAGTGTCAAACTCCGGTTCAATTACCCAAGTTTGAGAAAAAAATCGTGCGCCGATCGTGTGTGTTGGTCTTGGTGTTGATTCTGCTTGGCCGAGAATAACCGCGTGGCAGCGGTCTAAAGCCCGAAAAAAATTTTATATAGCCATTACATTTTTTAGAATTTGTTAAAGTTATTTTAATTATTTATAGGTTCAAATAAGTCACTCGCACTCGTTTTTATAGCTCGTGATTAACTTTGATTTCGCTACCTATCCTCGAGGGAGGAGAAGGGCCGGGGCCCGCAATTTTGTAAATACGACATAATCTTTCCAATTCATTTCACCTGGTAAAAATAGATACGGAATGCAGATTTTAGATTCTATAGCCACATCCGTCATCAAGAATGGCCATAATCACTGAGTAAATTTCCTTTTTTTGGAGTTTGCCTTGCGAGGATGTAGAGTGACAGCAGATCCTCTACGGTATTAGCTCTCTTCACTATCTTTCGTCTTTTAGTCAGTTCATCTATCCTTTGCCAGCACTCGTTGCTCATGTCTTTGCTTATCTGATCGCAGATCGTCCATTCGCACCTTACCGGTCTATCGTCACATGTCCTGTACCCAATTTACTCATTTTCGCGAAGAGGTGCTGTCTCGACATTCTAAATAATAAAATTTTGATTTTATTAATGAATTTTGATATGTCTTGAATAATAAACCCTTTTTATACTGCTAATCTCTCTATAAAGCATATAAGATGACTCATCTCCTCCTACAAAATTGTAAAAAGTGACTCAGATCTACTTTCAATTACTTACGTGGTACCGGACAAGACTTCTTCAGCGAATAATTCCAGCTGTAAAGCAAAGAACTGGCACAAGAGTACTAATGTAGTCTGTAGTGGCACATTGATAAGACTTCGTGTATTTTGCAGCAAAAAAACATTTTCTTTGTTTGCATGATTTCTAGGTTCTTGAATGTCTAGTGTTGAATTATTGAAGTGTGACAGTCGTTCACGTATCATTGGTAATGATAACAAAGTGGTCATAGTGAGAGTTCTTGGATGCCCTTCGATTCTAGTTAGCACAGATAGGGAGACTTTATTTTGCTCTATTACGATACACTAAAATTTGCATTATATCCATGAGCTTTGTTGAGTGGACCCGAAAATATTCGCTTCCCCTAAAAGTCAATATCAACCAGAAAATTTTTTGAAAATCTTCTTTCAGATCATGTACTTCATTTACTATCTGTACTTACCCTGGGTTATTGTTTCCTTCAAGTTATCTCCAAGTCATTTAAAGCAACCTTTTACTATCAAAAGACCTTTTAATAATCGAAATGACAACTCCTATTTCCTCTTACAAATTGTTTACTGCAAAGTAGAGTACAGTATTTAACTTCCAGCTTTTTACACTCGAGCGTTGCACATTGATCCGATGTCACTTACGAAAAATCTGTAGAAAAACACTCTTATCTTTTGCAACTTTTTTGTCTCCGCTGTTTCAAAGTCGTTCCAAGACAAAAATGATTGTGCAACAGTTTACAAAAGCGCTATGAAGATGTTTTTCATCCTCACATATGCACTTTTTTTATTACAGCAGACTTTCCCACCTATTTCAGAGATCATACATTCCCTACCGTTGTGATGTCATTACTACATAGCTGCACTCCAGTTTATTTACATTGACTTTGTGTGACCATACGGTTCTAGAAGTTATGCAGTGAATGCGATTTTTTGCATGTTTTTACTCCGTAATTGATCCCTCTACATGTTATCACATAAATCATCAAAATACAAATTGATATTAATTATGCTTTGGTAAAATCGAATGCTTTAGCAAATGAAAAAAATGAAATCCATCAGATTTTCCAACTCATTTTTGCGAAACAGCTAAACCACCATAGAGCAAAGCAAACCCTTTGCGCGAAGTTATTAGAATTTGTAAGTCTTTGCGTTAAAACTTTCTGAGATTTCTTGGCAGATGACCTGATTAAGTAAGAAATGATTTCTTGACACGAGGAACCATCAGGATTTTCATTCTTTCGAATTTATCTGTAAAATACTATTTCCAATCAGTAATGTATGTTTTTACGATCGCATGTATAACATTACCGTACCAGCTAAAGTGAGAAAATCGAATTTACAGTAGCTAATTTCAATAAATTATTTCTGAAAAACGCAACTTTAAATTGCCGTTGATTTTATGACGCGGCCGCACAATTATACAGGGTATCCCAAAAAAATGTGCCTACTGTTTGATTGTTAATAACACTTTTGTAACGAAATCTTTCGGGAAGCTTTAGGTACCGTTTTGTAGAGTTGACTTTAACTTAGATTTGCAATAGAGCAAATTAAGAACCTATTTTCATTACTGTAGGAACACGGCAGAGACTTGCAGCATATGAAGTCACTGTGAAGACCGTTTAGAAAAAATTTCCAAAAAATCTGAAAAATTGTGTAACAACGTTTCCAAGCGTGCTGATTTCGCTACATAATCTTCTGCGTGTTTGTAGAGCTTCTATCTGGCATAACTTATGAAAGAAGCGTTACGGTGAAGTGCGAGATTCATCTTTGAATCGACGACCCCGATTGACCTAGTGTAAGAGTTTTCAGCTTCTTCAATCCTTTTTCAGAGGTAAAATACGATCAATGCCGCAAAACCCTCTTTGAAGTTTCTACCATAAGCCTACAGTAATGGAAAGAAATTGGTAATTTACTCCATATTGTAAATCTAAGTTAGAGTCACCTCTACAAAATGCTACTCAAAGCTTCTCCAAAAAGTCAATGACAGTTCATGAGATATGTAATATACTATCAGATCTTTCGAATTTACTAAAGGAAATCAAGGAACACGGTAATAAAAGACGACAAATTTTTCAATACGATCCTTGTCTAATAAATGACTGATTCAGATAATCATCTGAGCGATAATATCTACGTACTGCAATGAATTTCAAAAAAATTCCGTCCTTTATATTCGAATCTAAACCCGATTCACCGATTCAGGCTATTTATTAATTCCAATATCTTCAGGCCCGTATTGCCAGCATGACGGTCTCGTATAACCTGGATGTGTCATCAGTCACCACTTTCTCCTTCTTCAAATTATTATTTCGATGGCGAGGATCTATTTGGAAGTCTGTAACAACAGAGCTGAGTATATGGGTATTCTGCTATTATATTATTTTCTGTATATATCGATTTGCGCTGGATAAAGAATCTCAAAGGTATGCTTTACGTCTGTAGAGAAAAATTTATTCTTTTCTTCGCCTAGACTAATACTTGTGTTCATATTTGATCCCCGCCAAGCGGGACTACAAATAATTGTGGTTGGAAACTGGTCCACAAAAAGTTATTCTTCAAATCTTCACATACAGTCTTCCTGCTCACACTCCGAAAGTTCTTCTTCTGTGGGATACTTGAACTTGTAACTTGAGGTCCTTACGGAGCTTGTCGCTTGATGGAAGCATGATCTTACGGTGGTGTGAGCTATTTATAAAGAATAATATCAGATAAAAGTTTTGAATCTCAAAGTGTATTTCAAGAGAAAAGAAACATAGATGATATGAAAAGCGTTACAGAAAGCAAAACAAAGCATACTTGAGAGATGTACGATTACATAGAAAACAAATCGATTCAAATACATAATAACATGAACATGTACTTAATACTAATTGGTTAAACAACTGACAAATATATCTAAATTGTTACAATGATTTTGGATCACTGATCGTCATTGACGACACTCCCGGCGCAGCTAGTGTGTCCTTCTGCAGCCCTCTTTCAGTGCTCTTTTGGCGTCGAAGGTTCTTCGCTTCGCCCGTGACTTCATGTCGGGGACGTTACAGAGAGCGCGATGGTGTCCGGTGTCGCGTGGAGAACAAGAACATCCATAAGTAAACAACTTATGGTAACCAACAGATATGTCTACGAAGCGCGATATTAATCAAGAAAAAATACTGCGCCTCGGTACTTGGTTCATGACGATGAGAACAAAGAACAAGAGATAACTGCCAAGAAGAGAAAGAAAAACGGAAAGAAAAACTCCCAAAGCAAGAAAATGAAGTAATGGATTGGATGGCAATGGATGAGATAGCGAGTATCGAATAGTTGGAGACAACAAACTAGAGAGTGATGAGAATGACAAACTTTGGAAGGAAGTGAGAGGGAAACAACATTTTCCACAATCAAAATATTGATGGATCAGGATAATCTCAGTGAGACGCAAGGCGACAATCACCAATATGGGCAGAGGCTGGATGGAAACGAGGAAAAATTAGCGGTTTCTACAATCGAAAAACTAAAGATGCAAGTGTCAAAGTTGCAAGACGTGCTGGCGCACAAAAGAGCGGCCATAGCTCCTCTGATAAACAACGTCAGCAATCTCCTTGATAAAAAGGAAAGGAAGAAGAGATTGTCCGAATCAAGGAATGAGTTGAAGTCGGAAAAAAATCGCACGGGGAAGCTGTCGCTGAAGCAACGTCAACATCAATAGGCCATCGATCGTTTGCAGGACGAGATAAAGCGGAAGCAAAAAGACATGGAGAAACTAAAGGAGCAAAAGGAGCAAGTCCAAAGACACTTGAAGCAAGCAGATAAACCAAGGGATGACCGATTGAGTATCCATCGGGCCAACTGATGAAAATAAGCAAGTCGAAGGCAGGTGGGAGCAAGATAGTCAGTATCTGAGTCAACAAACCGCAGGAAAAAAAGATCAAGTGAACGAATGCGGGAAAAAGACTATCACGTGCCGTCTCATGAGCAGGCAGCAAAATTCTGAAGGACTGGCCGGAGAGTTCAAAAGCCTGGGAGGAAAGACTAGAGCAGGATATCCTCAAAATGGAAAGAGTTTTACAAGATTTTTCATCGCAAAATTGGACAAGTAAACCATGGTGTCTGCGGAATCAAGTGTGCCCTTTGCGAGGAAACAAGATAGCTGATTTTCTGATTCCTGTCCGAGATATATGGATAGAGGCGAAAGAGGGGAATCATCCGACAAAATGGGCTTTCTCCTTTTGCCTTGAAGGCTGCCCTCCGGATAGCGAGTGTCTTTACGCAAGAAAATGATGTTGGTATTGCAGGCGATTGAGAGGTTCCATCTCCTCATCCCTTGCGACGGCGGTCACCGTCGCGCGCTGTGCAACGTCCCCGATATGAAACCACGGGCAAAACGAAGCCTCGAAGCCAAGCGAGCTTCAAGAGAAGGTAGCAGAGCGACACATTAGCGGCGCCGGTAGTGTCGACAACGACTGAATGCAAATATAAATACTGCCTTTAATCACTTATTTTTTTATTTATAATCACTTATCTGTCTTATTTATTTGCTGATTTTGTATATTATTTGACAAGTATTTGTATGTTCTGTTCATCTGTTATTTGTTAAGTCGAGTATTTGTGATGCACTATCATTATCAACTTGTATATTTTCAAGTCTAGCTTAGCAGCATGTTGCTTATCTTGGAATCTATGTTTCATTTCCCATATAAATTGTTATGAGAAGCTTACTTTATCAAATATCCGTATGTATAAAAACAGCCTGGTCTGCCGTGAGGTCATGCTTCCAATGCAAATGAAAAGAATTCGAGCAAGTGTCCCTCAAGTTTCCCCTTCTCTCCCCTCAAGTCTACCCTACGGCGAGAAAGAAGCCTTCACCTACTGGAGCAGAAGATTTGAAGACAAAGATATTTTAGTATCTTGTCTTCAACCAACACACAAAACCCGCTTGGCAACTGATCAAGAAATCCAAACAAGTAGAACATCTTCTAGAACGTCTATTATTCATGTAAGTGTAGAAAAAAATTCACTTTTTCAGAGTTTTTGAGAATATTGCTGCACACTGTGACAAGAAGCTCGACTACATTCCGTTGACGTTTATGCTAGGTTTTTTCGTCACTGTTATAATCGATCGTTGGAAAAACATTTTCAATAATATGGGATGGATTGAGAAGTAAGTGAATCGTCAACGAATACATAGATCTTAATTAGCTGCAAATTGTACAGCACAGAAATCTCTTCATCAACAAGTTAGAATTCCTCAATTTAGAGCTTCAGAGACTGAAATCAAAACGAGCTACGTAGGCCTTGCAAAATATCACTGAACATAAAATTTATCTTCTAATATATAAAGAATCGTTAGCTCAATTCAAAAATCTTCCAATAGCGGGAAACTGCGGCGAGTCCTGAAGCGAACGCTCTTCCAAATAGCACCTTTAGATTATTACTGGTTCACTAGTCTCAAAAATAATCAGGAGATTCTTCAAGTCTATCCTTTGAAAAAACGAAAGAAGTTCTATATCCACCCCCCCCCCAAGAATGGGTTGCGAAATTTTTGAAATTTACTACTAGCATGGGGTATAAATTGTGCAAGTGGCTTGTTTATTCTTGCAAATAACTGATTTTTAAAATTTCATGCAATTAAAATTAGCCTTGTAAAAAAAACTTTTCGGAGGCGTGGCTGTCGCCACGTTCCCTTTCTCTGCATTTTAGGGGTTATGGGCCTGCAAAAATCTTGAGATGCACCTCAAAAAACTTTTAGGAGTATGGCTGACGCCACGCACCTTTATTTGAAGAAAATTTCTATTGCTTCCCCCCCCCCTCTTGTTTGGTAAAGACCAAGTTGGGTGCAGCAACGAATTTATTCACAGGGAATAGTGACGAACAGCGACTGGGCGATAGTGACGACTCCAGAACTTGGTATCCAGGCTCTTTTATACAGCCAAATTGGGCGTGTATAGCCTGGATGCCAACTTCTGGCAAAGAATGCTATCAATGCAGTAGAAGTTTCGCCTACTTGAAAGTAGGCGCCGCCGAGTGCATTATCAAGGGCCATGAGGGTGACCCGGCGGCTAAACAGGTGCATGGACAATCTACAACTTGTCCATGACAGAATGGATACATTCACATAATCGAAGACAGTCGTTAATAAATATTATTAACGACATCTTGGGCCGAAATCCTGCGTCCCCCACTATTCTTTGGATTGATCTGTTGTCATAAACAATCAAAAAACTCCTTTTTTATGGACAAATTTTCATTTTATATGAATGACTAGCGACCCTACGGGTCGCTAGCAAGCGGGTAGGGCGCACCCATAAATAAACGTGTTTCATACCTATAATTTTCTCAAGTGAATTTTTAATTTATCAGTATATTAGGTTATTGCAAAAATAATCTCCATTTTGCAAATTTTCAACTTGGAAGGTTATAACTACGTTCAATTTTCATATTTTTGAATGCAGTTAAGATCGTTAGAAACAGCAATCCTTTCGCAATTTAACGCGCACCCGCCCGCATTGATATTGCAAACGGGAAGAAAACCATGACAAGATCAACTCCGGTCCGCCTCGAGAGAGATGCCCTGATGGGGGGTTTACTACGGGCCTTTGTTTTGCCCTAGTCACTCTCGCACTCACGCTTACAATCTGGAATGAAAAATCGAATTCACCCAGAGCAAAAGCTCCCAAAAGCGAAATTGAAGATTTTCTCAAAATTTGGCCGGAAAAGTGGATCATATCGTGCAACAACTTTGTTTTGCCTAAGTCATCGCTGTACATCTTCCTTTCGCAACGTCACTCTCGCACTCACGCTTACAATCTGGAGAGAAAAATCGAATCCACCCAGAGCAAAAGCACGCAAAAGCGAGATTTTCGAAGATTCTCTCAAAATTTGGCCGGAAAACTGGACCATATCGTGCAACAACTTTGTTTTGCCTAAGTCATCGCTGTACATCTTCCTTTCGCAACGTCACTCTAGCACTCACGCTTACAATCTGGAGAGAACAATCGAATCCACCCAGAGCAAAAGCACCCAAAAGCGGGATCGAAGATTTTCTCAAAATTTGGCGGAAAAGTGGAAGCAAAGTGAATACTGAGACCGAATGTGAGCGGATCAAATGCTTCTATAATTAACTTTGCAACAATGTACCAAGCTCGCAATTTCAACACCCTTGGCACGCGCTTGCGTCTTTCAACACACCCATTGCAGCAGCAGAGCGTACCCTGCGTGTCGTGGCCTCTCGTTCGCGCTAGGACCTCTGCGTCCTCTTGACCTCATGATGGCACCGTCGCGTCTATACACAATAAGGCCCCGTTCGGCAACTGGCGTCTATTCAAAACACCCGTTGAAGCATACATGTGGGCGGACCATCCTCGCCGTCTCGTTTTTTGGGATCGGGTTTATATTATAGGAAAAGATAATCAGCATCATTGAAAAGAGTTCACTAATGCTGGTTCTCTAGTTCAAGTCATTCAATGATTTTCTTCGACTCAAAAAAGTCAGCATTTACACTTTTGCTAAACATCTTATAAATAACCATAGTGGTGCATTTACCAAACTCTGTTGTTTTTATGTTGCCCTTTCAGACATTTTTGACGCTGACTGTAAGTGTGAAAAGTGTCCTGAATGGGTTTTACTGCAATGTGGAAGGTGTGTAAAGTGTCGCATATATGGCGTCGATCTCTTTTGTGATTTGTGTTTTGAACTGAGTCCACTCAAATATCCCTGAAGTTGAACTCTTAGTAACCTTTAGCAGATTTTAGCGTCGTTTCATAAGATTTCTCAGAAATAATTGTGCGCACTTTATTGGGGAGAGGGAGGAGGTGAAGCTAGGCACAGAATCTGGCTATGATAATAATCAAGCGGAATGGAAATATCACAAAAAACCCTTTCTTCGATAAATTATCCCATAAATAACAAAAAACTCATTTGTGATATTCACCTTAGGCCCCGGACAGACTCCACGCGATTTGATCGTTGCGACTGAATCGCGACGAGACAACTGTTACAACATCATTCCATGCTGATCAACTTGCATTTCGGTTGTGATACTTTTCCAGCCCGAAATTTTTGAATGTGAAATGAAAATAAATGGCAATGTCGGCGATTGAGTCGCGACGATCTCGCGTGAAGTCTGTCCGGGGCCTTAGTTGTATTATACCCCTTTCCTTTCAGCATTGCTCTGACGATTTCATGCTTGATAAGAGGCGATACTAAAGATGTAGTTCTTACTCGTCGTACAATAGTCAGATATCTCGTACTTTCTCAGGTGAGTTACTGCTACATATTAGTCTTTTAGCTGCTGAAAATATTCTAAGCATACTTTTCAACAAGTTTCGGTTCCAGGCACATAAATCGTTTATTTTTCTCTTTTGTTTTTTTTTTCTCTTGGTTGCGTATCATATTTGTCACAGTTTAAATGTCCATGTGTCATGATGATAAGATCAAACAGAGAGCAAACAACAGCATCTCTTTCACCTCTAATTATTATCATTTGGATACATACCAAAAACTGACTGAGTAAATATTGTTTTGCTTGAAAAATTCAGTTTGTTTGAAAAGAAAATAACGTAGAGACTTATCTCACATTCAGGTGCTGGTATTTCGTGATATATCAATGAGAGTGAGAAGACGATTTCCTAATATGGAATCTATCGTTACTGCAGGTATGTACTTTAGTTCGTGCATACCAGTGGAGGCGTCAAAAACAATTTCGGGGGGGGGGGGGGGGAGAGAGGAGGGGGAGGGCAAAAATTGTTTTCCGAGTGAGCGGGCGTGGCATTAGGTACAGCACCTCCCGCTATGCTCCTCAACTTTTATCAACTTCCGTCCCTCGGAACTTTTCACGCATAATTTGATTTCTGCGAAATCATAAAGTCATTTTATTTCTTGAAAATAGAAACAACTTCACAATTAGTGACTAAGAAAGAATACCCTTTCCTTAAGGCTTTCTACACGAGGACGAGAAAAACGATCTGGAGAAGATCCATATAGTGTACAACAAATACTGGGCACCAATAAACTGGGCCCTTACCCTTTGTTTTCGAATGCATACGGAAGGGCATATCGCTGCTGTTCCATCTCTCAATGCCTGTATCACTGTGAGTCTTATTTTAATACGAAAAAAGACGATAATCATAGAAACACCCTAAGATTCAATCACTATCATGTCATATGAGTCAACTTTCTCACTTATCTAACTCCAGGCATGTGACTTATTACCTTGTGATTTTCTATTGGCTCATCAAGGCAGTTATTTGTAGTTTAAGAAGAGGTAGAAGGGAAAAAAGCTTGGCTATACTGCACTTTTTTCGCCAAACACCTTATGTGCTTATGAGAAACGATAAGTGTAGTTTCAGCTTGTGAAATGGTGATCATAGGCAGTCGGAAAAAATATTAGGTATTTTTTCAGTGACCGTAAGAACCCCACAAAATCGCCGCAAAATTGCGCCACTTTTTTTGTTAGTCTTTTTCGAACATTTCAAAACATACCGTAATTAAAGGTATTCCTGGAGTTCTCCAAGCACAGTACAAATAAACCATGTCCTGCTATTTCAATCCAAAATCATTGTAAGACTGCAAGCATGGATATCTATCCAATTGGCAGCAAAGTTACCTTTCAACGCGTGGGTGGCTCAACCTCTCAGTTAGAGCCTTTTGAACTCAGGAAGTAAAGAAAATGCATAAATTTTGCGATCAGAATCACAACTGCTAAAAAGAGTGACTTATTGCAGCGTTAGTGCTAGTTTTTGAAGGCTCAAACCACTTTCCACTTCATATTTGCCTTTTTACCCATTTTACTGCAGCTTTACCATTGATTGTTTGCTTTGTGTATAAAAAGGCATCGAAATTAAGAAATCCAAAAAAATTTTAGTCAATTCTACACCGCATACTTTAAACACTGTAATTATTTGCAGAGAAATTAGATTTCTATTATCAGATTGTAACGAAAGTCCCCGAGCTGTTTTGGAAATTTCATTTTCCGACTCACTTTTTTTTCTCACTCGGACGAATCTTAACGACAACTATTTCGTATGGTTTTGTAAAAGAGAGCTTAGGCTTTTCAGACTCGCAACCAGTTTTTATCGATATCAAGCCGTATTTGATCTATGCACCAAAAAAGGAAAACCGTGCCATAAGGAGATCTTCAATATCTTTCTTTTTGCTGCCATTTTTTATAATGGACAATGAAAACCATTTGAGGGTTGACCAGTGTGAATAAGCAGACTGTCCACTTCAAAACGGCAGCTGTGCTCGGATTTTACAATAGGCGCACAAAAACTGCAAGCTCTCAAGCTGCGTTTGACCGCACTTGTTTTCGCAGTCGGCGTCGGTAAGGGTTGTCAGCTTCGATGATGGGCGCAAAAAAATGTGCAAGACATTAACCCACAATATTTGCAGCATTCAAATATTTGATTCATTCCGAGGAACAAGAAATGAAGACTGCAAACTCATTTACTCAAAAAAATGGGGCATTCCGGGTGCAAAAATGGCCGATTTTTTAATTTTTTTTTCAAAAAAAAATTTCTACAGGCTGTCCTCTAAGATTATGACACAGTCTACAAACAACTTCAGCAGAGTTTTACATAGCTACCGGATATGAGCTCTGCAGCTCTCTTCGCGCCGGAGAAGTCCTACACCCGCCGGAGAAGTTCCTACACCAACAGGCCGAAACTCAATTCGACCTTTTCCCCTACTGCGCCTGCTGGTGGCACAAAATGATGTGCTGAGGACTCAACAAAATGAACTACCTTTAGACAGAATTGCCTTTGCAGCGAAGTTTGCAACTCTCAAAAGAGATCAACCTGCTTGAAGTTACAGCAGTCTGCAAAAAAAAACTTTCGCAAGTGCCCGGGAACTTTCGTTACAGCCTCCTTTATCCAAAAAAGGCTTCTACTCACCAACTGGACAATTAGTATTACTACTATCCATAATGCCTTGCCACGACACTAGTGGGAAGTGTAATAGGTTAGTTTTAAGGGTCCAGCACTAAGAAAAATATTATATCTGGAAAACATACCATCCTTCTGCTATTGTGGCAGAATCGGCACGATTCTAAACGGTAAACAGATGTTGTCACGTAAGCATGCACAAAAATCTTTCCTTTTCTTCGTGTATATAACGCATGGTGCATACATTAATATTTTGATTTTATTGCCTTTATTGTCGATTATTTCAGGAGATAAAAGCATTTCGTACAAGTCTTTCGCTTTTGTGTAACTTCGACTGGGTACCAGTGCCGATTGCTTATCCACAGGTACACATTCATTGAAATTTTCGAGACATGGAAAAAAACGGAGATGAATTTTGAGGTCGTTTTTCTCGCTGTTCGAGTTTACTTCATGATATGTCTCGTGTCACGACAGTACATAATAGGAGAACATGCTACCAACAAAAGTGTGGTGAGATTATTTTTTACGAAATGTCTTCATCAGTAAACTGTTCAATTTAGATCGACCTCTACGTACCATTTATGACCATTTTACAATTCATCTTTTTCGTTGGCTGGATGAAAGTGAGCCATTGAGAGAATTAACCAACAAAAAACTAAGCCTTTTAGTTTTTTTAGGTAGCCGAAGCGCTTCTCAATCCGCTTGGTGAAGACGATGATGATTTCGAGTGCAATTTCTTGATTGACAAAAACATCGCTGTAAGTTAGCTCGACAAAATCTCCAGAAAAACGAACTTGCAAAATTTAGACTGGTCTATCTATTGTTGATGAGACTTACGATTATTGTCCACCAGTTCTTCCCGATCGCTTTATGGATCCCAACTATCACCCAGTGTATTCAGAAGAAAGTCAAAAGCATGGCCATGACAATGTGCTCCAGGGATCAGCCGAAGGAATCACGTAAGTCATTTTATGTAGATGACAATAGGTTCAACTCAAAACTCTTGCCCACTACCGTATTTACGAGTGAACCAGTGAGCGAGCCTGCTGGATACGGTACTGGGCGATAGTACAGTTTTGGATCTCTCAATCACGAATAATTTTCCTTTCAAGCTAGTAGACGATGACTTTCCTAATAACATTTTGATAAACGCTTTTCAGATTGGCTGATTCTAACGAGAACGTGAAAATGGTCTCCGTCAGCGTGGCAGGTTCACAGAATGATCTTCGTGGTGAGTAAACAAAATGTCAATTTTAATCACTGAACGAAAGAAATCTGCTGCGATTAAGTTTTGATACAGATCTAGTCAGAAATTCAACGCCTATCTGCCATATTTGATCAATCAGCTGCATAATTCTTTTACGGTTTGAAAAAGAAAAAGATTGCTCGTACTTTGCGTAAGGTTTTGTCTCAGCAATTCACTTTTGATTACAATAAAATGGTATTGATAATAGAAGTGATTTTTAAGAAGAGCTTTAGCAAAATTCTTCGAAAAAACTTTAAAGATCTCAGCAAAACGCAGTGATTATTCACGTTTTGAATGGAAAATCTTCCAGGAGAAGATGGCAGTGAGAAAAATTTGGACATATTTGGAGCATTTGCGACTTTATTTACATAATCCTTTAGCCTTGACCTCTAACTAGCTCTTGCGAAAATTATTAGGTCGGTGCAAAAGTTTTGTCAGTTTTTTCAATCCATCGGTAAACACGTAAATGAAGACAAACTAGCACTTCAAAGAGTATCTGATGCAGAATTTCTTCCTCTTTCCAGCTGCAATCACATTATGTTTCGTTGAAAGAATGATGAGATATTCGCTGGAAATTGTAACCATTCGTTTTTACCATGTCCAACTTTCACTAATTTTCAAAATTTTTGTATGAGAATTTTAGGAGCTCCAATAACCACCAGATAGGGCAAACTTTTCGCCAACTTATGCAATTTTTTTAGCTGCTTTTTCAGATTATTGCTAAATAATTCTAAAAGTCTTGTGTTTTGAAAAAATCGCATAACCTGTTATTGCACCAAATACTGCAAAACCTACAGAATACTAAGGTTTCATTACTCGATTATTACTACCGCTACCTACAAAGTAAATGAGCGATTTTCGCTTCAAATTATGAAGGTTTTGAAACATAGGTCACGTCAGTGCGCACACACCGAAAGTGAGAAATACTGCGATTTTCCCCACAAATTTCGCCTGTATCGGCAAAAAAGATAACTGTTAGAATGACGAGAAAAAATTGCATCGAATGGTGACTGAAGTGTTTAACATTTTATGTTCTACGAGATTGAAGGCTGAATGTAAAATTTGGTCACTTCAAAAAATAAATCGTAGAAATTTGAAAGACAAGCCGCAGGGCTATAAAAAATTGCTCCTGTTGGCAAAAGGTTTGCCCTATCTGCTGGTTGTTGGGGCACCTCCGATCTCATACAAAAATTTTGAAAATTAGCGAAAGTTGGACATGGTAAAAACGAGTGGTTGTAATATCCATTATTATTATTTCAAAATTTTCAAATCTTGTCAATATCTATATCTATCAATATAGAATATCTTGTCACTCTCGCAACGAAACACAATGGTAGTTTAGCACTGGAAAGAGAAGGAGATTCTGCATCGGATACATTTTGAAGTGTTTGTTTATCTTCATTCTAGCGTGTTTGAAGCTGGAATGAAAAAACTGACAAAACTTTTGCACCCACCTAATATTTCGAAGCTCTGATAACCTTTGAACTTATCTCTGAAAATAGCCCTTGAAAAATCAAACCAAGCTTGTATCAGCATTTTTTTCAGTTTTTTTATTCTTCTCCAAGTTCGAGTAAGCTCTAATATTTTTCAGCATTCAGAAAAGTAATTCATAACTGACTCGAGTTTGGAGAAGAATAAGTAAGATGCTGATACGCTGAAAAATGCTGAGGAAATACGCTGGAAATGCTGAAAAATATTCCAGTTAGTTCTAAGCATTTTTCATTATCAATTTTTTTTAAATTTTTTCATTCTTCTCCAAGATTCGAGTAAGCTTATGAATTACTTTTCTAACCTTCAGTTGAGTAAAAGTGCAACTTATCAAAGATTTAAAGAACTTATTTTGCTTTAGCTCTAATATTTTGATCTGTTGTAGAGACTCCTAGCGAACCTCGCTCTCGAACTACCGGAGTAAAGAGGAAACTTAGCCAGGCCCTTCGACTTGGACAGTAAGTGTTGTTTCAAAACTATTCTATATTATATACATACGTATCAGTGGCGTACCGAGGGGGGGGGGCGGGGGGGGGCGCGCGCCCCCCCCCGAGAACGGGTCGCGAAATTTTTGAAAGTTACTTACATGCGTTATAAAAATGTGCAAATGACTTGTTTATTTTTGTAAACAATTAAAATAATTTTTAAAATTTTTTAAAAATTCAAAATAGCTTTATAAAAAAAATTTTTTCGGGGGCGTGGCTGACGCCACGCCCCCTTTTTCCAGATTTTAGGGGTTGGGGGCCCGCAAAATTGTTGAGAGGCCCCCCTAAAATTTTTTCGGAGTGCGTGGCTAAGGCCACGCACCTTCATTTAAAAATTTTTTTTGCCGCGCCCCCCCCCCCCCCCGAGCCGAAATCCTGGGTACGCCACTGATACGTATCTAATGTTATAGTGGTTTCAGACCGCGATCCTACTCGGTGCAACCAGTGCGACTTGGTCCAGCTACTCCCATCACTAATAATAAAACACCTAACCGTTTTTTCACTCCCTTCGAGTTATCGAATGGTGAGGATATTGAATCGATGCTATCAAAAAGCAAAATTATATTTTTAGGATTTGAGCCATCAAAGATTATCCCACCCGAGGCACTGGAAAAAGTAGATGAAGAGGATTCAATACACTCTGGGCAACAGCCACAAAAGATCAGCAGGATAAGGAGCACCATAGAAAGCGTAAACGAGACAGAAGTAAGCATAATGTCTTGAGTCTTACAAATAAACCTGACTTTACTTTTCAGATCCCATCGATCATTCGAAAAGATTTGGGATTGGGAGATGAAAAAGAAGCTGATTCTGGCGACGAATAGCAAGTATTAGGACAACGATCTTAGCTGAGGTAACTTCTTCAAACGAGAGAAAAAATTTTAGACGAATCAAAACGTCCAAGAGAATGCGTAGATTCTTCCACTAAAGCAACACTATTTCTCACCCTAATATCTGGCTTCAGGGTCGGACGGCCAAAAGTTTTTTGAATGAGATTTCCTAATAGTAAGAAGTGTAACCAGCTTCCACTAGCAGTCCGAGGAATTTGCTAAAGGCGCGAGAAAGGGGCAAAGAAATCTTTTTCTAAATAAATGAGAGTGCCGTTAGCCAGGTCCCCGAGAATGGCCTATAACCCCGAAAAATCTGAGAAAGTTCAAATTTCTTTTGTGCCGTACAGGTTTGAGAAGTGGTCTTTATTTCTTCCAATCACGTGATTGGAAGAAATAAAGACCACTTCTCAAACCTGTACGGCACAAAAGAAATTTGAACTTACGACACATGCCAAGGTTTCATGAAAACGGGACTTGGAAGCTCCAATCTGAGAAAGGTTGTGGCGGCATTCACGCATCCAAAAATTCTTTGCAAGACTAATTTGGATTTTCAGATTTTTGCTCATACTCATAATCAAAAATTATTTGATTATTATGAGTATGAGGAAGCCATTTGCATATTTCTATAGCTAATGTAACTACTTTCAAAAGGAACCCAATTTGGGAGACCATTTTTCCGAACAAAAAGTTATTCGAAAAATTGTCTTTCCCAACAAAGCAAACATCCATTTTCTAGATTTTCCATTTGAGAATGGCTAAGAGGCTGTTCAACCCTGTTTTCATTTGCCCTCAAGGGTCCAAAAGGTTATTGAATCATTTGGTATAACATCATTAAGCGAGTATTTTTATTGCTAGAGAAGATTTTACAGTCTGTCCCAATATTAATCAGGCCCAAATTGGCATGGCGGGAGTCGCATCGCTAAGGTATTGGTCACGCACGTCCTGCCTGTTTTCTCCCTCTTTAATCTTTTCGCTCTCTCGAGTGCACATACGCAGCGCAAGCCCCAAGCGATGCGAGCGCGCAAACTTCCGCCAACAGTTCAGCCTGATCCTTATTGGGACAAACTGTATGCGTCCCAAGTTTTATTTTCCTCTGCAATTTTTTCATGACAAAAATTGCTATGATTAACGTTTGGACTGGTCATTTTACGAATAATGTTTCTTAAGGTTATTGACAATAACTTTCAGATTCGATGCTGCAATATAATTACGGCTCACCGATTTCTCTGATCCTTCACTATTGGAGAACTATTCGAAGACTTCTGATGTGTCATCTTTATTTTGCGACGATGTGCGACAACAGATTTTGTAAAATATTCACTTTTCAAAACAACTTCTTAGAATAAGGTTATTTGACTTCGCGTAATTTATTTTCACTTATGTTCGGGTACACAACTGATGCCTCTTTGTTCAACACTTGTATTGATTTTATTGATGTATTTCTTGATCTTGCCTATTATGTTCTAAACGAGCCCAATCTCTAAACATAGTAAATCTCATCCAGACTTTTCATTGTATTTCTTATTATAGCAAATTCCCAACTCAATCAATTCCGCAATTATTTTGTATGTACAAATCATAAATCAACTTCAATAAAACTTATTGTTGGTCAAGCGACCTCCAACATAGAAACGCCCTTAAAAGGATGTTTTGTGTTGGAATGTTTTCTTCTTGAACTCGTCTTCAATGAAAATGTGGGAGAAAACCTAGGCAGTCCAAAAAGACTCTGCTTATGAAATGGCGTATCTTTTTGTGAATAAACTGCCATAACAACTTTTCTTTATTCTGTGTCCTATGATTTTTCCCCCAGGTCCCCACCGCAACAGAGCCTATCTGCTGGGAGGCGTTGGCGAAGGAGCACCGGGATTTTAGTGTTTTGAAGACGACGCGTCAAAGGCAGCGCAAAGGAGCGAAAGGCATGCGAAGCGGTGACACCTATGAAAAGAATGCTGAGCCAAATTTCGCTTTCGGTAAAAACTCAAAATAGAAAAGCAACAAGATAAAAGTGCATTTGAATGCAGTTAATTCGCTCTATCATTTTTGAGCTTATTTTCGTTGAATTTCGTTTTCCACCACAATGTACAATGTCCATGACAATTCATCTCATTTATATCATATGCATAAAACTTGACGCCTGTCTGTATTTTTGTAGACACGTCTGGCGGAACAGGGCCATAAACTTTTCCGACATGAACCTTCAACATTCACTGTTGCTTTTCTTCTGTTAAAAACTGGTTTGCGAAACTGAAAGGTATAGCTGAGCAATTAAACATCATCTTTGTGAACTATAGAGTCTCACCAGCCTTTCCAATTTTTCAGCTAGGACTATATGTACGAGTTGGTATGGAGAGCTAAGCAAATATGCAGATTACGAAGATAACAAATGCAATTAATGGCTGGTATGTGAAAAATTGAGTTGAAACGCGGAGGAGGCTGATCACAAAGGCAGGCACGCTAAATCAACGAGATTATTGCAATATGCCAACTCTGACAACGAGTACTTCCTCAACTGACATCATTAATTTCCCAGTACTAGAAATAGGGAGTAAGCAGATGTAGAGATGGCACAGAGAAATAAAACATTTGACCACTTCTAATGTAACAACCACTTCTGTGGAAAATTACCGTTGATGACCTCAGCTCAGACTCACGATAAGAAGAAGCGCAAAATTTGCAAACTAAGCCAATCGATGAGCATATAAATCAGACAGAGGACTATCATAAGCTACATACACGTACTAAGTCCTAAAATCCTATTTTCAAGTTAGTGTGTGGTAACGTCAAAACACGATTTATTCTTTTCTCAAAATTATCCGATGCTATAATGTACAGAAAATCATCTGCCAAAGACAAGTCGGATTACTTGAAATACGCTGTAAAGCGTTGGGTAACAACTGCATTTTCTAAAAGCTTGTTTAGTTCGAAAAAAAAACATTGTAAAAAACTGTGAAGAAAAAATTGGCAACTATCGCTTCCGTACAGCTCACCAATACATGCAAATAAACAGAAGAAGAGGCAGTCAGGACATTATAAAATAGAAGAAAACAACATAAGATGTAAACTTATTATCACAGTTACAACAATAACAACGAAACAGCGAGCCCTCCCGTAATCAGACTTGCAGCACGTACATAGAGATCTATAAAAAAAATTTTTTTGAACAACACAGTCAATCATAAATGAGTGCATCAACCCCAAACGCAGCGTCCACCCAAATTGAGAATGGTAAAATTCTGATGTTGTACAAAAGCGGAGCCCCCAACTGACACGGGAAGCTTGTTTAGTCGAAATATCCTTTTTGCATGGGATGCATACCATACTGAAGGGTATAAAACACTGATTCCAAACCTACCTTCCTTATTTGCATAACGTTTATGGACGAGGAGTTATGCGCTTTTTGAAGCGAAAGTTTACTGTGCATTTTGCATAAAATGAGTTGCTAAAATCTTACTAGCCCTTAATAATGCAACCAAGTGTGATATAATTTTTATTTCAGAATATTTTAGAATAAAGTGCTCTGATGATTATCACTGCTCCATTGAAGAACTAGAAAAAGTATTACGGCTAATTTCGTCGTACTTGCACAATTAATTTTTTGCTCCAATACGCAATCAAAACTTTTCGTCCATAAAAGCTCTGCAGATAAGGAACACAGTCATGGAATCAGCATTTTATGCCCTACAATATATACTACATCTCGTATAAAGAAGCCACTTCAACTAAACATGCTTCCCTTGTAAGCAAGACCCGCCAAAACTGTCTGTTTCCTACATCCAATTTTACATTCGAGCCAGTAGCGCATAAAGTTATTTTAGAGGGAACAGCGCATATTTTCGGGAAGGGGCATGAAGCGTAAGGCCAGAAATTTGTGGTCCGGCGAATATGGAGTGCGGCTCAAAGTCAAAACAAATATCGACTATATTGTTAATGAGCTATTACTTGTTCGTTTAATCCTCACCATCAGGCCTTGTTGCTTTTCTTCGGTGACGGCTTCGGCTTTGCTGCCGTATCTGTTTTCTTTCGCCTTTCCAAATTGTCCATATTCGCTCGCAGTACCGAGACATAGGCCAAATGGAATTTGTTTACCTCCTTCGATGTGACCTCAAAAAGGGTGATTTTGAACCTATTGAATTTCAAACAAGTGCAAGCCAAAAGCCAAAACATCGAAAAAAAAGAAGAGACTAGATAAGTCGTGTTCATACATTAATTTGCAACTCAACTCACCACGGTACTGATATGTTGCCTACCACGTTTAGCACGGAAAAGACATTTGTGACCATCAGCTGGTTGCGGATCCGCATCTTTTGGCATCGCTTTGGTTCGACCATCATCTGAGAAACGGATGATAACTTTATGAACACCAAACCATGACCTTTCAATTCACTGAGGATGTATCGACACCATGCTTCATAGAACAAATTAGCTTAAAACAGTCATCTCTTTAGCGTCCTGATACCCCAATATTATGGGTGAATGCATCACTTATCTTCATTTTTACAGATACTAGAACAATAAAGCTTCAGGGTGAGGGGTACAGCAGCTTTTGATTTAAAGGCAGAGTTCTTTAGCGTCCCGATTCAGAAGCCGTCTTTGTTAACGGGAAATTTCTAGTGCTCCTTGAAAGCAAATGAGTTTGTTGAAATTGCAGCTGAACGGATGTTTGTCAGCGTCTGATACCGCGCGTATTTGGAAAAAAGGACGCACAGTCGCCCGATTCATGTGACATCACGGTAACGTGGCCATATCAAGTGGACGAGTTCTTGATCCGTGGGCACCATTCGACTCATCTCGGAGCGGCAAGGCGCATCTTTTGATATATAAAAATGCCCGCTTGGACACAGCAGAAGGTCAAACTCCACGAATCGTTTCAGATTTTTGCTTAAGGTAGGCTATTCAGTGTGTTTATTCATCGCACATACTCGGCAACCCAGCTGTCAGCAAAAATCTGAATTAATTCGTGGAATCTGACCTTCTACTGTGTCCAAACAGTCACTTGTTTATATCAGAAGATGCGCCACGCCGAGCTGAGTCGAATGATGCCCTTGGATTAGCATTCGTCAACTATGAAACGAGATATGGCCATGCTACGACGATGACACAAGAAGCGGGCGTCTGTGCGTCTTTTTTCAAAAAATACGAGCGATATTGTACAATGAGACCATTAGCCGCGTTAAATCACATCTCCATGTTCAACTAAATATCTCCGCGATCAGCTATTCCCAGAAAAATAAGTCTACTCACATGGCTTCATTGTAACGCAGACAGATTTAGCACCTCCCAATCTCGCATCCATGTACATTTTCCCCAGTTGGCTGAGAAACTCTTCATTTGAGAGGAGAGTCATCGTCTGCAAGAATTGTACATCGGTTGAACATTGGATATGGTTTCCGGGAAAGACAAACAACAAAAGAATTTAAAGCGTGATAGAAATCAAAGGATAACGAACAAGCTCTGATGTGAAAAGCAACAACCAGATCAAAGCGAGCGAATTTATTCCACGAAGGCCAGAAACAAACCTGAAAGGCTACACGCGGAAATTTCTGTGATATCGCGTGAAATCAGACGCATGAGCTAACTCGCACACAAGTGTGATCGCGCGCGAGCTCGCCCGAGCCCGGATTTTTGTTTGGCCATGCTTTGTGTAATGTTTCTCACTCAGCAATGTGATTTTGTTACAACGCAGTTTTCTTATTGCTCGTTTTGGCTACGTATTACCTCTCAAACTAGTATGAGGTCAAATTAGGGCGAGCGGGACCATCTGTAGATGGCGTACACGCCTTGTACATACGGTTCTGCAATCCATTTGATTATCCTTCTCGAAAAACATTGAGAAATATGACAACCACGTTCATGTATATGCTAGTAACCATGATCTAGTGAATTCTTCTGTTGTGCTGTCAATTAACCTACATCATTCAACATAAGTGGCAGCAAAACAGTTTCACCTGGTCTTTGGACTTTTGGTTCCTTGAAACTGGTACCAGTAAAACATATAATCATTTCTCCCTAATAACATATCTTTCTCGACTACATTGTTTGTCTGTAAAATGAGCAACTTCTATCTTGCTGTCTCATTGTCCCATCGGGGGGGGGGGGGGCATAAAGCGAACGAGATGTTCATCAAGTCTCATGCGGGAGTTACAATTCGTGTCAACCGTGTGCTCCCTTTTGCGTAACTACTACGCATACGCATCGCATGGGCATTGCGTAGCGATCATCGATCTATGCGGCAGACTTGAACCTCAAATGGTGCGCTCGTGAACGCGGCACATTGTTGACATGGACTGTGTGTACACATGCGAACGACCATTCTATTATGAGAAAGCTTTTACTAATAGAAATTAAACCAGCAAGGTTGCCAGTACTTGAAGAAAATGAGAATATTCCCAGGAAGTCTAATCGTCTAATCTTATATTCTCAGGAAGTCTAATCGCTTGCAACTAACTCGATCAAGGAAGATTCTGAGATCTTCGTAGCTGTTGTTGCACCGCTCCTTCTTCTCGTTGTTACATTCTTTTCAATGCCTTTGAGCTTTGCTTCTAAGTTTATGGAATTCAGGAAAATCCTCGACACATCTGCACCGTTGTAAATGGCATGAACTAATAGATGTGAGTTCGAATTGTTAAAGACTCTCTTTCTTGAATTCTTGAGTTCCATTAAGGTATCAACTAAGCCCCATATCACTAAAACCAGACGTTCGGGCAAGCCGAAGTCAACATGGTCCCTTTCAAAATAAAATATCTAAGTTAGTAGAAAAGGTAGGCATCTTTTTAGCTTTAACCATATCTTAGTCTTTTTGATTTTTACTACGTGTAGAAAATTGAACGGAAAATTTAGCTTTCCAATGAGCGTGAAATCGTTGACCTGGAGCACGAAACAGGGAAGATGTTATTCAATTCCATGGACACATTCTTTTCTTACGGGTGAGTCGCCTACCTATCTCTTTGTTCATACTCTAGTAACAGTACTCCGTTTTGTCTTTGTTACGCATATCCTCAGGGTTCAACTTCATATCGTTTTTCTCCTGTCAATTGTACACGACACCTGTGTATTTAGGCTTTTATCCGGTGATAAGGTGTACTGGCGTTTTGTGAGGGAGTTTTTGCCGAGAACGCAGCAAAATCTCTTGCGAGCCGAATGGGGCGACATTGATAACAGACGTTTGTCGATTGCTTGGCTCAAAGATGCATTCAACAAAGGGACGCTTCATTTCCAAATGCTTGCTTTCAGGAACAATCGGTGAGTATGCGATCATTACCGTATTGGTTTTGTTCAGTGATTATTTACAGTAAAATAATAGCCCGCTTTTACCATCGTAACGCTTGTATGAGTAATGGTGGTATGCTCGAAGCAGTGACTGATATGATTGTGAGCCTTGTGAATGTCCAGTTTGCATTCTACGTGAGTTTGCTTTCCTTCAGAATTCACCATTTTGCTTCTTTTAATACACGATGAATCAAAGCAAAAAAATTTGAATTTGATCTTCAAACATTTCTGGTTACCTTTACCAATCATCCGTGTAAACGTCTTTCAGTCAACGCTGAATCTTCGTGTAGAGCCTGCTCAAGCGGTCGTGGTCATGACACCCGTTGCACCGATTGCAAAGGCCAAAACAAAACGGAGGAAAAGGGAGGTAAGGAGCTGCTACCTTCACCGGTCCAACGAGATGATGCTTTTTGGTACATTCCGTACTACGAATGACTTAATACTTAGAGCCTTATTCAGGAGAGCGAGCGTGACTTAGCACCCGTTGTAGTAGATAAATTACCGCCTCCTGTCCAGGCCACAGTGGTTCCAACTCCGAAAGATCAGGTCAGAGATCTTGTCCTTGCTATTTGCTTGAAAATTACACTAGCTTTTATATCATTTTCCGTTTGTTTCACTTGTGTTTTTCCGTTCACTTTTTAATTTGACGATGAACAGCGGGGTAGGGGAACGAAAGCCGCCAGTTTGGGCCGCCTCCGCGGACTGCTGGTCCTGGAACGACACGCAACAACACTGCGAAAGGACCAGTTGGCCGCGAAATTCGGCTCAAACTGGCGGCTTTCGTCCCCCTACCCTGAACAGCGTAGTCATTTAGGAGCTTATCCTGGACGAATTGGTTAGGAACCGGCGAACTCGTCTGCAGAGCCTCATGGAATCATCTAGCTTTGACAAAGTAAGCAGAGTCATGGTGACTATAGTTTTGCGAATGATCTACTTCTAGAATGACGAGAACGGCGATTCTGGTATGAACACAAGTGGAGATTCTTCGGAGCAACCTGTAAGGAACGAAGCTTTTGACGAGGTAGTGCACATCACTTGTACTTCCGTTTTACATCACTCTCTTCCGTGTAGCTTCTCACCTTCCATTTCCCCTGTTATCTCTATGTTTGTTAGGTGCTGCGGAAGACAATGTCACAAGTGAAAATTGAAAATCTTGGGGACGAAGCAAAATCGTTCGATAGTCTTCTTCATTACGATGAAATACCGCAGGAAAAACCCAGCGATGAAGATGTCCTGGTTGAAGGAGAAGTGATGTATGTTGCAAGGTGGTGAATTCGAGAATGATTACATTTATCCTGCTGTAGGCTACATTCTGGTGACATTCTGAAATTGGCTATGAATGTTTATGTGGACGAAGGAGAGCGATTGCTGCATATGTACCATGTATATCAGAAATTTGCTGCTGGGACTCCTCAGCAGAGGTAAAAATCATGTTCTAACCGTACTCTCCATACCTCAAAGCTGTTTTAGGCTACTTGCGGTCACCGACCACAACATCTATGTAATAACTCAGAACGTCGTGCTAGAGTATTCAGCGCAGCCAGGAACTTTCGAGGAGGGCGGCCATCGCAACGTCTTTTACGAAGTTCATGTGGTTATTTCACTACCTAATGTGGACTACATTGGAGTGAGTCACTGCTACAACTTTACATGATTTTCTCATTTATTCTGCTCCTTCTTGCCATCGATTTTTGGAAATTTATCTTCTTTTTGCTTAGATTCTTTTTTTTTACAGCTTGTTCGAATCAGTGCTTTGCAGAGTACGCCAAAGCTGACTAAAATGTATCATTGTGTCATTACCCTGTTTTTCAAGGTTTCGAGAGACGCGCAAGTCCTCATTTTGTACGCTAAAAGCGGTCTCCCTTTTCGAGTTATGAACGATGCGGAAGGAACCAAAGACAAAACCTGTGCGATAGCTACAGGCGATGTTCAATTAGGAAACGCAATAGTGAAGACAATCACTACAGTATGTTTATATTGAGATTTCAACCATTTTCATTGGCTCACTCATCTCATCTGATTTTTTGCAGGCTGCTGAAAGCGGAAATCACGAACCGCCTGCCGTTTTTACAGAGAGCACTCCTTACTCATTGATACTCAAACGATACCTCACAAAAGAGTTGAATGGAGCGGTGAGCGTGAGTCGTCTACCTCTATACACAGTATATTACATTGAAGTGCAAACAAATGTTCTAGCCGCACATCGAATTGCAGCACTTTGCACTGGTTTATTGGAAAGAGTCTTCTGCGTTGATGGATAAACAGGGTGCAGAGACTGTTGGATATCTGTATAGAAGGTCCACTATTTCACTTTTTATCGATTTGTAGTGTATTCAAGTTTGCATTATAGGATGGTACATCCGAACTGGTGGAGAAAACCTCCCGCTGAATGGGTACAAAGTTACTTCGTGTTGAAGTAAGATGCTATCGCTTTACGTTTATTTCCTTTCTTTCATCTTGCTTTCCAGAGGGACCAAAATGTACCTATTTACTGACTCCACTTGTAAAGAAGGAGAGCTGATCATTAATTTATGGTACGTGTTTTGACTTTGCTCCAAGTGATTTTTTTCCTTTCGGAAATATATATGTCCGTTCTATTTTTTCAAGTTAATTTTGTGCCGTTTTGCTGCTAACTATTCTTTTCCTCTTTAAAGTTCCTCCTTCCAAATTCAGTTTCTCGTTTTGTAGCTAGCAAACGTTTTCTTGAGGAGAGTTAATGAAATTTTGTTCACAACAGATGTGTTTAGCGATTGCACGGAAACTTTGGAATTGGATGCGAAGAAAGATTGCCAATGGGGATTCGAACTTGTACTTCCGGAAGGAAACATGCAGTTGCAGTGTCCCAGCAAAGACGAAATGACCAAATGGTTGCGTTTAGTGCACGAAGCGATAAATTCGCAGGTATCATACATCAGTTATCATACCGCCATGCATACTTTGGTCTTTTTTTTTAATAAACCCATGAGTCAGATACGACTTTGACTTTGAATGACAGTTATAAACACATATCCCCTGATTTTTGTAATTTTTTTCTGCAGCTTGTGAGTATGAATCGCAGATGTCGAAAGTCATTCACTTCGCCATTGTCTTCATCAATGTGTTAATTTCGTAACATCCTGCTTCAAAGCTCTTCCATTTCATTATGTTTTGTCAAAGTTACCTTTGAGGGTGATGATGAAGCTGCTGCTTGCATGATTATGGTCACCGAAGCACAAATCGTTGTAGCTCAAGAAGGAGAAAAATGCTACACAGACGGCTTTATACGCACTTTGGTGGTTAGTTACATTATTTCTAGTTTCCCTGTACTTTCCATATTCGCCATTTATTCTTCGAAACTTGCTTTTTTCCTATTATGTTCCTATGAATTTATTGTAGAAAGTTTCCAAAAAATATGGTAGTTAGATTAAAAAAGCTCTTATTATGAACTCTATCCCAGATATGCCACTTAAATAACAATTTTCTCCTTTTAAAACCCATGCTTCAAAATCATATCACTTCATTGCAGTCATTTCCGCTTTCGGACATCCGCAAAGGTTGGATAGTAAGAACCGATACTCATATGTCTCTTGTGCTACGAGTTGACGCTATGCACCATTGGTTCTTCTTCCGATCTGAATCTGAGCTGGACAGGATTGTTATGACTTTATCCATTTACCCCATCTCCATCATGGAAATCGACCAGCATTCACAGGTTTGTAAGGCAGTTTTCTGGAAAACCACTGAAATGCATCCTTCCAGGACAAGACCATAGGTTATATACTAAACCAGTGTCGGAGAACTCCGAACCTATGGCACAGAGCTGTTTTTGCGACGGAAGGCTTTGAGTCAGACAGTTAATCACCTGTACTATATCAAATGTAGTTATGTAAATATCATCTTCTCACTCATTTCCTTTCACTCCTCTTTTTTTTCTTTTTTCTTGTAACCACAAAATGTCTTTTTCTTTTGCTTATGGCAACTACCAAGCAAATAAGATTTGCTTGTTCTTCATTGAATCGTATGCTCTCAACTCTCTGCACTTCGGCACGTTAAGCAGGTCTTGTATATTTTTTGGGTTTTGATGTGATATCATTGTATAGTGCTTTGCTCGAAAAAAATTTGAATTTTTTCGAAGGCGATAGAAATTTGGTCTTATCCCAAAGTTGCTTGTCAATATTCCTTATCTTTTTGGTCATCTTCACTTCAGTTACACTAGTACCGCGAAATTCTGATCATTAGTAGAGAATGCAGCATCCACCTCGGCAGAAGTCGAAACTGTCATACGACAAAGGACGATGTGTGCCCGTTGGTTGGAAGCCTCTTGTTGTGGACCCTCGCGTGAGAAGCTACATTTATGCTAGAGCAAAGAGAACATGCTTGGAGGCAAGAGACAGTGAGTGAAAGTTTTTTGAATAAGCTTTTGTATGTACGGATATTTCCTCTTTTGTAGGAGAAGCTCAACGAAGAGCAGCAGAGGAGAAGCAGCGTGAACGTGAGAAGATGCGAGAACGTGTTGACGAGGATCTCGAAGCTTGCGAAGCGGAGGTATTGTTACTGCTATTAGTTTGAATTTTGGCCACTCTTCTTGTGGTGCGGTCTAAGATAATTGTGTAAGTGTTATAACATCTCTTCATTCTCCAGTTGGAGCGAGTGAAGGCGCGCCGAGATGAATTGGCAGCCGAGAAACATGAATGCTTCACAAAACTCAAAGCTTGCCTACAGAGGGAGTCGCTGCAGAAAAAGGCTGATGATGAACGAAAGAGAAGAGTAAGCTCCTTTTGCATAGCGCTTTTCTAAAACCATTGCTCAATTATATCGTCTAGGAGGTCATCACCTTGCAACAGCAGCCTTTACTAGCGGCAGCCATACAAGCACAAGCTCAAGCTCAAGCGCAAGCAGCTCAGGCACAAGCTGCGCAAGCTCAGACTTCTAATCTAATCTCAAATCAACACCTTCTGACGCAGCAGAATCTGCTGACCCATCACTTTTCCACACAAAACATATTGAGTCAGCAAGCGCTGCTGCAGCATCAGCAACTTCTAGCAGCACAGAAGTACCAAGAATTAGCCCAACAAGCTCAGCAACGTGGTCTAGTACAGCAACCAGCTATCCCGACTGCACCACAGAATCTCCCCGCAGGCATCAACGCAGCTTACCTCCAGCAAGCGCTTGGACAAGTGCAGGTAAGCCAAATTTGCAGTGATTTCGTCACTTTGTACTTCAATCGCTCTGTACTTCAAGCTTTGATGACGTTGCACTCTTCAGGGCCTGCTGCCTACTGCAACACCAGCCGTCCCCGGCTTCAACGCTGCAGCTTCCGTGACAAGGTTAGCAGAGCAGTTCAGATTTATAAGTTTTTTCGTTTTTCTCTAATTTTCTTTTTCCCTCTTTTCTCGCTCACTTCTAAGTTAGCGTAGTTGAAGCATGTCCCAAGCATTTACAGTTTCGCCTTAGGTGACGAGTCATTCTTGACAGGGTACAATGTGCGACCTCTGGTTGTTTTCGAATTCGAAAGAGTTTCTTTCAGAGGTACTCCACCGATTGCAAATCCGTTAGTTTTCAATCAGTTTGCGGTTGATCCAAAACCGCAGCCGGCTACCACACAAGCAGCACAGTTGAAGGTAGAGACTGCTAGCCCACAAGTATCGCCAGCACCACAGGCACTCGGTCAGCAGCCTTATGGCCTGCAGCAGCTACCAGCCTGTAAGTGGAATCTCAGTTTCTTACTACTGTTATCATCAAAATCTTTCAGCATTTTTGTCAAATTCGAACCCGTTATTTACGCGAGCATTTGCAAATTATCGCCAAGATTTTGCTAAGCATCTGGGTGACAGTAATCCGGGCTAATGACGCATGGTAGACGTTTCTTATCTCTTGAGACTACCTACAGGAATGATTTTGACATTGGAGAAGAACATCATTTTACTCTTTTAAATCCATTATCTCAGTCTATTCCGTTGTGTGATAGTACATGTATGCTTGTATGCGGTGACTTTCGTCGTGCTTGTTGAGCACATTCATTGATTAGGGTTCCTATCAAAGCGCTATGCTATCACTTCACATGACCGCTCCTCTATTCGGAAACGGGTAAGCTAGGATGGCTTGTTGTTGTGGTTCTCTGTATCTTGGGGATTTATTGAGATTCCAGTCGATTTTAAGATCTCTTACTCGAATAAAAATTACTGCTGTGTTTTGTTGTTATAAGTGAAGGCATTTCCATTTCGTATTGGAACTTTTGGTTCAGTATATGCAAAACTTGAAAACGTCCGAATCTTTCAGGTCTTTTTTGTAGAAGTTAGGGTGGGCACCGGGTGCGATGGCATCGCCAGGTCCTTCACAGAGACGCAGCTCAGATGGCAGTGACGATGTTTGCCCAATCTGCCTTTGTCCTATGGATGAAGGCTTTTCAAGACCTGAAAATTGTCAGCATCGCTTCGACTTGGATTGTTTGACTGAATGGTCTAAGGTAAGGTTTGTAGGCTAATTTTTCTTTTATATCATCTCTTTTCAGCTTCGCCTCAGCTGTCCATCATGTCGTGCCGGGTTTGGAGCCATTTACACCTATGAAATTGTGGAAAGTAAGCCAAAACTACTCAAAGTGCAAAAGATGGAGCCACCCAAAGAGGCAGAGGTAATTGTCATCCACATTTTTCTGCGAAATTTTGGCATCAACCACAGGTTGTGGACTCTCTGCTCAAAGATTGTAGCAGAACTTCCAAAAATCTCTTTAAGTTTTCGATTTTAGTTTTTTGCAACATTTTCAAATGGTCATATCTACGTTGTTATCCGTGACGGAAACAAGAGCCAGTGACTGACTTCTCAATTCGATTTTCTTTTTTGTTTTGTTTTTAGCAATAACCATCCATTTGGTTATCTTCGCTTGAGCGGAGCTTCTACAGAGTTTTATTTCTGAACGGGTCAAAGTTGACCAGAGCTGCTCGCGAGTTTTGGTAATAATTTCTACAATCCAGTTGAGGTTAATATATTCCTACGATTCAGCTGATGCGAATTTTTGGACATTTTTTTGTTGTTGAAATTTTGTAATTTTGATCCGTAGCAGTTTTGTTACAGCCGTTTGAAGAAGCAAACCCTCTTGACTTCACGTTCTGTGAAATCTGTGGCGGAGGACAGCACGAAGAGCTGCTGCTAATCTGTGATCAGTGCGATAAGGGGTAGGCATTGTTCACTGTACTGTTCATGGTGCTTCTTTGTGTATTCTTTCGTATTTTCGTGTGTATTCCGCTACTAAATATTTGATACTTTCAGATTTCATACTTACTGCCTCACCCCGCCGCTTGATGGTGTACCAGCAACTGAGCAGTGGTTCTGTCCACAGTGTGAAGAAAGACGAATTTCGTTACCTTCTACCAGTCGTCGCGCTACAGCTCCTTCGGCAAGAACGATCAGGTTTATTCAGAGAACTGCGCTTGCTGAACGCGTTCGTCGAGTACTGCAGCGCAGTCGAAGAATGTGTGTTTTGTTATAATCAAAATAGCATCTTATACAAGAGATAAGGCATTTAGCTTTGATGAAGTCGAAGAAACTAGCGAAAGCGAAAGCGCCGACGTAGAAGATGAAGAAGAAGAAGAAGAAGAAGGAGAATTAGTAGAAGAGGATGGAGATGAGGAGAGCGAAGAAACAAGTGAAGTGGGCACTCCTGTTTATTTGCCATTGTTCGGTTTATAATGCTTTTTTTGACTTTATGGGCATTCATAGATTTAGATGCTTTTCCAGGTGTGGGTCACAAAAATTCTTTCATGAGCGGACAGAATATGGGAAGAACTTTCCACCTAGGAGTGTGCCTTAATGTTTTTAAAAGAGTATTGATACTTAAATTATTCACTCCTCGCAGATACAAATACTGAGTAATTTTACCCATAGAGAGCGTTTTGAAAATTTTGCGACCCTCTGGAGGGGCGAGAATTATCACGACATCTCCACAAGACCAAAGTAGGAATTTAGGAGGAGGAGGTTCCCGAATTTTTCGACGACGATGCCAGAGTATTAGCTGAAATAGGCGATGATGAGGAACCAGCTTTACCCAGGTAGGTTCTCTTGTCTCCATTTACCTATTAATTTGACTCGTACTCGTTTTCTAGTGTCCAGAGGAGAACAAAGAAGCAAAGGGAAGCTGCAGCGAAAAAGAAGAAAACCACAAAGACAAAGAAAGGTAAAAGAAAGACGTCTAAAAGAACTACCAAAGGCAAGAAGAGGAGAAGCAAGGTTTGCAGTTCTTGCTGCTCTTTTTTTGGCAAGGCTTTTGAAGAATTGTTTAGGGCAAACGTCGTGTCAGAGAGCGTAGGACTAGGACAGCTGACACCAAAAAGGGTCCATTGGATGCCTTTGTGACGCGAAGAGGTGGTAGCCACGATCCAGTCGCTCGCCTTTCGCTTCTAGGAGCAGGATTGGAGCCAGTGGCAGACGACGATCCGTAAGTTTACTATCTTGCAGTAGTTCCTCAACATTCAGTTCTCAGTATGGGATTTGCTACACTTCTTGTATCATATTTCATTTTCTGGGATGATGATTGATACGCAAAATCCTGTAGAAAGTTTTCTAGACATTGTTTTTATACCAATCACCTTGATATCTGCTTTTGAAAATTCGCGAGCATAGTGCAGTTCTTTCATGTTCTAGTTCAGACAAAATGTGCAAAAATCTCAATCATCCATAACCTTTGAGATGCGAGTCTTACCTTACGAGCTGTTGACTTTGATGCAGGTATGATGGGCAGTCTTCCAGTTTGATAACTGAGAACTCGAGACGGTTTGATCGACCACTTTTGCGTCGTAAAGACAGTAGAAACGCACCTTCGTCCACTGTTGCAAAGAATGAGGCTGTGGACGAAGAAAAGCCGGCTGCTGACTCCTGGTAAACGCATAATTTTTCTAAACTCTAAGACGTCTATCTATCTGTTTATGCATTTTAGCGATCTGCTGGGTTCAATTATACCAGAACAGGTGAAAACCCTTGCACCTGGAAGATTGTTTGCAATTGGAGGTGGTCGATTCAATACCACAGACGATTTCGAGAAATATAAGGAGAGAAAAACGAATCTGTTATCCTCAGAACTGAAAGCAAAGCTAGGAGTCAGTCTTTCAGTTCGTTTCTTAGGACGCATTACAATACTTTTGTTTAGATTCCTGTGGATGAAAAAGATGCCGTTGAGTCGAAATCCGATGTTAGCAAATCGAGGGATAAAATGAAGGTAAGGTCTTCGTTTTCAAGATTTGGGATTATTGGGATAGAGGAACGAACTCCGCCATTCGGGCCACCTCCGCGGACTACTGGTCCTCGAACGACTTGCAACAGCATCGCAAAAGGAAAAGTAGTCCGTTGCTGGCAAAATGGCAGAATTCGTTCCCTATTGCTCACTTGTGTTCATTACAAGAATCACCACTAGATTTGTTCGTTTTCAGGAAAAGGTTCCGTCTTCGAAACCAGATGAACGACGCAATGTCACCGGCAATTCTCTACCACATGGAAGTAGCTTGGGCATGCCTCATCGCAGTGGTGAAAGCACTAGCCGAGAGGGGACCTCCAAAGATTTGAGAAGACGCGATGAGCATCGCATGGCTGAAGATAAATACAGCTCCAGCTCAAAGCGTGACGGAGACAGTTACCGGGGAGATAGAGACGAACGGCGCAGGGATTACAGTGATTCTGGTGATAGTCGAAGCAGTAGAAATGACAGAATCTACCCTCAACGACATAGTGAGGAGAGAAATTGGCGAGATGGTGCTGGAGATGAGACTAGAGCTGGAAATCGACGATGGGAGCGCGAAGACGACAATAGGAGGAAATACGAGCAGCCCCGTGGGGTAGTGCGACAGTTTGGTACGACTGTAAGAAACGAGTTAGATCCGCCAGGAAGAGTCCATAACCAGGGAAGCAGCGGGCGAAACGTTTACGAGCCGTTTCGGGAAATGGATCGCCGTCCAGATCGCACTATCGACAAACATTCGGTGCGTAGCCTAGGTAGTGTAAGGAGCAATTATGAGCGACCTAAGGATGATCGAGGAAGCAGCAGTAGCAGTAATGTTTCTAAACTGCAAGATAGACGGGATTCTCCCAACCTACAGGATAGACGAGATGCTTCTAGACTGCAGGATAGAAGGGATGCTCCCGAACCGCATGTTAGACGGGATTCCCCTGAAGTACAGGAGAGAAGGGATGCTTATAAAGCGAAAGATAGGAGGGATGCTTATAAACCACTGGATAAACGGAATACTCCCGAACTACAGCTCGATAGAAATGATGCTCCTGAACCCAAGGAAAGACGATATGCACCTACAATACAGGAAAAAAGGGATGCTCCCAGGTCACACGATAGAAGGGATGCGCCTGAACCCGAGGATAGACGGCATGCACCTACAGTACGGGAGAAAAAGGATGCTCCTAGATTACTCGATAGAAATGATGCTCCTGAACCTAAGGAAAGACGGTATGCACCTACAATACAGGAAAAAAGGGATGCTCCTAGATTACACGATAGAGACGCTCCTGAAGCCGAGGATAGACGGCATGCACCTATAATACGGGAGAAAAAGGATGCTCCTAGACTACGCGACAGAGGCGATGCTTCTAAACTTCAGGATAGACGGGATGCTCCCGAATTACAGGATAGAGGGACTGCTCCCATACAGGATAAAAGGGATATCCGCCGGGGTGATGACAGACGTTCTCATGAACGGCCGCGAGAAGTCAGTGTTCAGACTAGTCCAGAGAAACCCCGCAGACATGAGCGCAATGACCGAGTTGACTCCAGAAGTAGAAGTCCGAGACGACCCGAGCAGCTGATTGACGAAATCCGTAAAAATACGCGTGATCTTGCTCATAGTTCCGATGTTTCCGGTCATCGTCACAGTCGCGATGAAATTGCCCGTACTGAAAGGCCTGCCATGAACAAAGCAAAAACTGAGGAGTCAGAGCAGGAAGACAAAGGATCTGCGAAGAAACCAGCACTGAGAAACGCAGCCGGTGAGTTTATTTCTACCATCTGACATTTCAAAACTTACTATTGTTATTTACAGGATCTCTGGAGAAAGCGGAGAATGTCTGGATGGTGAGATTTCTGATAAACTTTGAAATTCAAAATTTACAGTCGCATTTATTAGTCGCGTATTTTCATCGAAGTCTTGCTGTAGCGGGAAATAAGAGAACTATCGCTGATTATGAGTTTTATTTATCGGCTTTTATCATATTCATGACTTCTCTCCTTACAAAAGAAGATCAGCAACTTTCATTTTTAGCATCGGAATTTTCAAACAATTTTTTTCACTAATTACTCTTGGCGTTGTAACTTTGTATCAACTCAAAAAATTTGACGTGATTGATTGATTAATCGATTAATTCGCGTCGGGAGATTTGACATTATTTCGAATCGTTGGCCTTTGAATTAAGTTTTTATCTCCATTGAAGAATTCCACAGTGTAAGAATATCGATCTACGAAATCTGAATCTTTCGAAATTATAAAACGGTATTGCCGCTATTTCACTTTTGAGTGATCACCCAGATTATTTGTAAGATGTTCCATCTCAAAATATTGTCATGGTTCATCGGTGGAGTCATGTTCAAATTTTGTGTGTGAAAAACTTGCAGATTTGATATCTAGCTAATTTATCTTATATATAAAGCTGAATGTCTGTCTGTATGTATGTCTGTATGTCTGTCTGTACGTATGTGCGGAATAGAAATTTTTATTTCTGAACCGATCGGGACCAAACTTGGCACACATATACTTCGGGGCAGGGAGCGTGTCATAGGCTACTTTTCGTTATCGATCGATATCGATTTTATCGATTTTTTGCAAAATTTGAGCTACGGGGCTGGGAGTTGGCACAGGGGGGGTAATCGAGCATGCTGATTACGAATATAATAATGACAGGGCCGGGCGGAGCCGGGTTTGCCAGCTAGTTCACCATAAATATCATTGTAATTTTTTTTGAAGCCTACGTTGCCGAGCACTTCTGCTCTTGCCGTGACGAACGCCGCATCAGAAACCCCTGCTACACCTTCAGTTACGAAGCACGACGAAGAGAAAAATGTAACAATCGACTGTTTTTTTTCTGGCCGAATTTAGCATATTTCAAAATGTTCTAGAGCAATGAACGTGTGAAGATTATCGAAGGATTCGCAAAGGAAGCCATAAAACAGTATAAACGGTGAGTCAATATCAACTATTCTGCGTGTCTTACGAGGGAAGTACTTTCAATGGCCGTGGTTGTTTGATATGAGATGCTCACCATCTGAAGCAGCTTCGAACGCTGATTTCAAATCTGCCTTCCGTTTCTGCGGAACGCTCTTCTGAGGAGAGTTATGGAAGCCTGAAGATCCTATTTTGGGGGCGCTCCTTGACTTTGAGGGCGCTGCTATGTGCATTGGTGATGCAGTAATGTAGTGGTTAGTTGCTGACATTGAAGGCGAGAGGTTGATTGTTCGAATCCGGTGGAGAGCGAACTATTGTGCTTACTGAATGTGAGTTTGAAAGCACTCTAAATCGTCTGCATACACTTACTGTAATGCCTTAGCACAAACAGGAGAGAACGTCTTTTCGACTAATGACAGTGTGCATTTTTTGAGCTTTATATGGTGACAAACGTGCTGCGCCATGTTCGATCTTGTTTTACTAATAAGAAAGTCAAATAGAATTTCAGGCTCTCATTACAAGCAATTTTGCCACAAAATTCTTTTTCTAGGTCACTTAAGACAAAGGCATTACAGTAAGTGTCTGCAGGCGATTTAGAGTGCTTTCAAACTCACATTCAATAAGCACAATAGTTCGCTCTCCACCGGATTCGAACAATCAACCTCTCGCCTTCAATGTCAGCAACTAACCACTACATTACTGCACCACCAATGCACATAGCAGCGCCCTCAAACTCAAGGGGCGCCCCCAAAATAGAATGTTCAGGCTCCATACCTCTCTTCAGAAGAGCGTTCCGCAGAAACGAAAAGCAGATTTAAAATCAGCGTTTGAAGCTGCTTCAGATGATATGCATCACATATCAAAAGGCCACGGCCATTGATAGTACTTCCCTTGTTAGTCGGTCCTAGTGACGGGTACATGCTCTTTAGTGATATCACTGTGGAAGAATACAAGAACGTCATGCGTGCTGTAGTTCGTGACTGTTACAAAAAAAGAATAATGGATGGAGTGAAGATCAAAGACAAAGTAGATGAGTCCGTACGAGCAGTAAAAAATGGGATGCAATTGGATGTTGGTCATCATAGCTCGAAAAGACCAGAAACCTCTGGTGGCAGTTCGGTAGTACCAGTCAAACGTCAAAAAATTAGTGTTTGAGTGGTTTCAATCTCTCGTGAACTTTTTAGCGTTAGGACAATTTTTCTGTACCATAGATATAGTTTATCAAAAAATCAGACCTTTAGTCATATCGTGTAAGTTAGTAGTCGAATTAGTCAATGGTGCCCCTTTCAAAAATTTGGGGTATGTGTTTTAACACGGTGCTGTTTTGCAGCGCTGCAACCCATAGCACATCTAACTTGCTCGTGTTCGTTGCGGTTATCTCATTCCAGTCAAAATTTGGAATGTGCTTTGTTACTTGTAGATGGTTCAGTTGTTTTCAATAAGTGCAAGTGTATGTGATATTATCTCAGTCGAGTACAATCATTTGGTTTCCATTTAAGTGATTGTATCATCTTCTGTCACTCATTAGGGAAGTGTTTAGCTTGTGAATGACTCTTGAAAAACTTTACTTATCCGTTAGCGACACCACTGTCACCATTCATGTAATTTTACTGGTTCTTTTTCGCAATGAATATTCTTCATCTCGCTTAGCTCATCTGTATCAGATAGTCATGATACTCTGAGTAGTCGAATGTCAGCTATGGTTGTTATCTCACTTAGCAAATTCAGGTAGTGAGTGGCAGATGCGCAAGCTAGATATTGTTTTAGTGGATGATGAGTCGGGGCCGACAATTGTGGGGAAGTGTGCACACAAAAAAGCTGACGGCAAAGTAAAGCGGCTCGAGTGAAAATAAAGAAGCGTTGTGGATTTTGCGTCCCACCTTCAACTCGTCGTCCTTCCTGAGCGGTGCTGCTGCGGGTTCGACATTCGTTCTTCGTCAAGACGTGCCACGCAGGACTTCTTCTTAACGTCGAATGGCAAACAAAATATCAAAATGTGAAAGTGTAATCGATAATCGCCGGTAGATCGCTAACAATTATTGAGTAATTAAACCTTTTATTGCTAAACGCTTGAGCAAATACTAGGTTGGCTAAAAAATAAGTTCGTTTTTTCACACAAATCATCATAAAAGAGGTTTCTTGTTGTTTTCAATCTAAGATTTTTTGTGGGAAAGTAGTTCTCCTCTATCACATATCAAATGATCAGGATTTTCTATCGTCAGTAAAGACAGTTATGCCCCGATATGGCGAAATTTCCAAAAGCTCAATTCTTTGACTTCTTAGGCTTCGTTGTCATGCTGTAATGGATGTAAAGAACAGCAGTCTGGTGTTTGGATACAGAAGTGTTTTCCCTATTTGATGAATAACAAAAGGAACTATGATCTGCTACTTTGAAATTGTTTCACTAAGAAAACCAAATTTCCTCATATTTGCGCATTACGAGAAAATAGCGCTTTCTCACTTCTTTGCGGATTTTCTTCCTTGGAAGATAAGTTTTACTCAAACAGAATATATGCTCCAATACTCAGTGAAGTGTTCTTTTCAGAGATACCAAACTTTGGACAAAAATTTGTCTACTGCATTTGTAAGAGCTGAAAAAGTGACCGAACTTATCTATTAGCCAACCTATTATCATAAACGTAAACGACCAACAAACTAGGTGAACAAACAACACGTAAACGGATAACTTCAGATTGCTTCTTCGAACAGGTATAGTAGAGTATCGGAACAAAACTTGGGACTGTGACAGCATGTCAAAAAAAGGTTAGCAAAAGTGGCATAAAGGGTGGTATCAAAAGAAGTGTGATGGAAATAATGGCACTGCAATGACAATATACCCTAAAATCCGTACAATAAGTCCGGACTTATCTGCAGTTTTGACCGAAAAATCGATGGAAAATCGCCCTCTGCGGCCGCCAAAAGCCTTGCAGATAAGTCCTCCCATCAAACCCCATCAGATAAGTCCGCCTGTCCTGAGCATGAGCAAGCGCGACCTAGGAGCATAGACGCGCGCTACCGCCCGCGTAGTTGCCGGTGTAGATTTGAACAAGGCCGCGATATCGCCTGAAAGAAAGAGCCCAAGAATTTGACAAGTCTTACAGTCTACTTGCTGGCAGTATCGTAGCGGATTCATCGCATACGCTGGATAGGTGAGTTCTTTTCCTAGATATGACACTTGTACGAAATTGAGCGATTTCTGCCGATGAAAAGAACATCGTTTGAACCTGTACAGGCTACAACCAATGAACCTGACTGCCTATACTTTTTGCTTCCTCTATTATTTACATGGTCTGAACCTAGTCTCTGTTGACCCACGCTATACGGCTTTTGTCAAATGCTTTATTGAACAGAAGAGTGATAGTCTGAGAATGGTCAACCCTAGCAAAGCATTAGGCTTCTTTGTTCCTTTTCTCAGTTGTTGTTTCATTAAGCCTGTACATCCAAGACTAAGGACAGTGTAGTCAAATTTGATGCCGCCTGCTTTTTCTTGTAAAAGAGTAAACCTTTCGATGATCAGCACAAATTTATAGGACTCCGCGTGATTGCAGTGTGCAATGACCGCTAACTCAGCGAAGTTCGCAAGCACGCAGAGCACTATATTTCCGTCGTAGTCTCACATGCTGTGACTCAAGCTGTTCAGGTGTCTCGGATCTCAGTGGCTACCAGAAGTAAGTCCTAAACTACGCTTTTCAAGCTTAACACTATGGAATATGCCTTGGAACATGGAACATCGGCTGCAGCTGCTCATTGCGAAGTCTCTGCACGTCTGATTCGAAGATGGAAGGCCGATAAGGAGAGTTTGGAGGATATGCCACTGAGGAAATGCGCCAACCGTTATGGGAAGCAAAAGGTAGAGGAGATCGAGGAAGCTGCCTATGCATGGATTGTGCAGAGGCGAGAGGCGAGCAGAGCAGTGCTTGTCAAGGACATTTGAGCGAAGGCATTGCAGCTAGCGCAGGAATCTGGCCGGCAGTACTTCAAGGCATCAGCGTCGTGGTGCAAATCATTTATGAAGGGGAAGGTTTTAGTCGTTAGACGAAGAAGCAGCGTCGGTCAGCCACGTTTTTGATAGTGATGAACATGGAATGGAACCTGAATAAGGATCTGTTGCTTTGATCCATTTTGAGACCAAAAAGGCAGCGCAATTGCTCCTTCTTGTTTTCATCTGAAAAAAAGCGGACTTATCCGCAGGACTCTTGGCGGCGCGAGGTTGTTCAAGAAAGCGGACTTGTCTGATGCGTACTTATGCGGACTTATCTGATAGGTGGACTTATCTGATAGGCGGACTTATTGTACGGATTTTAGGGTAAGACAAAATGAACCAAATTCTGCCGGAATGAATCGTGTTGCGGATTGGGGTCCCCACCTCCTAACGTCAGTGGTAAGCGCTCTCCTGCATCGGCGAGGGGAGTTGAGGACGCCATCCGTGAGAGAGAACAACGACACATGTGGAAAGGTAGCTAGCTTGCGCCATGCTCTTATGGCCTGCCAAACACGGATACACTCTACATCTTAGAGGCCCTAGGCTACCAACCTAAACCCCCAATCTCAACTGCCAGCTATCTCAAGCTGGTCCACACACCGTTGGCAGTTGTGGATCCTCAGCAACTTAGGCACTAGCATGCATCATGCCTGTCCTCCGATTGATGGAACCTTCCAGGATGCAACACATCGTAAAACCACAACAAACATGAATAGCACACAGATATTCCTGGGGCTAAGGCCTAAACCCCAAGCCCAACACTCGCATCAACACTATGACTCTTAGGCCTCGGACGTACCTCACGCGATTTCAGTCGCGACGCGATTTGGCAATACTCTAAACGTTCATAACTCATCGTACGAGGTTTCCGAATGTACGGAAGATGGGGCATTTTATCAACCTACGAAAGTTATACATGCTGTACATTTGGGGTCTACCAGTATTGAATTTGAAAACATCTGGCAAATTGCCAGATCGCGTGGCGACTGAAATCGCGTGAGGTATGTCCCTTGCCTTAAGGGTGCCCACCATTTACCCGGATCTTAACCAACACACGAACAATTCATTACCATGGAATGAGAACACGCCGGTCAGATGTTACCTAGGGGCCGATAGAAAGAAAACCCCCCGCGGAGGTACTCATTTGTCCTGCGGCAAGCAAGAAGCACCAACCGGGTTACCTCGGGGCGTCGAGCCAGTCCTCCTTGCGTGGTGATGTTTTTCGCGTGAGTTGGAAAGACGACGCACTGCTTGATCGATCGATAGTTGGAGTGGATTGAAGCCGACCGCTCGCGAGTAGACGCATGTGGCGTACGTGACTTTTAGAAGGTAAGCTGCGGCATAAGTAGCGAGCGAGAGGGCGGGACAGCGCGCGAGGACTGGCACTTTGGGACCCTCTGCGCGGCGGGCAGCGGACTCCTTGAAGAAGTCGCGCAATCCGCGACAAATCGGAGGCGAAACGTCCCATAGGCTGGCGAATGTCAAATCTGAATACTTCAGTTTTGGCGCGAATGAAATCAAAGGTGCTGAGGCCGATGGTCAAGACCGGCCTCAGCACAAATGAAGACCTATGGTCGTCTCCACAGTTCGTGTAGAGGCGGACTGTGGACCTTCCATAATGTTAAGGAGGAACTTATTGAGCCTCCACGTCATAGCATTGTTTTTCACTCTCTCGCTATCAAAAGCTGCCACGCCTTGAGTTGGCAAAACTTATTTTGAAAGAGAGCTACACGAATCGTGGAGTCTACACGAATCGTGGGCTGATGATACAGTTTATAATATTCTTTAATTCGAATCGAGTAAATTCGGCCATTCAATAAAACATTGAATGCTGCATCAACGCCTCATACCACCACGGCGCTCCTGCCGCCGTGGTGGTATGAGGCGTTCAACTTTTAACTTTTAACTTTAGGCATTTCTTAATACAAATTCGCTCATGTTTAATAACTGGTAATTTCACTTTAAAGCATGCGCTCAAGGGTCTTACAGTTCCCAAGAAGGAAGCAGGTGCTTTTATGCGCAAAAGTATCAATTATGACAATAAGGTGTAATGAAAAAAGCTTCAGGCTATGGGAGAGACTGCAGGCGGCAAAAAGGTGAAAGAGCGTACGATCAGCAAAGACGCTGAGAGCGCCCGTAGTGACGCCCTGTCTAGGCATGCGATGAATGCCTGCAACCAAATTATATAAACTAGTTGTATAAGATAGACGAATTACCTGCCTTTTTGCTAAGCTGCGCCTTTTGCGCGGGCTACAGTAACACCCTAACAGATTTTTTATTGCTACCCACACATGATGAGCGCCATGTTCTGAACAAACATCTCTTGTTAATTTGAAGGACGACTTTTTCGAACAAACAAAATTTTCGATTAGTTGCTATGCTGTTTGTCAATTTAGTTAGGAATTGAAGTGTGATGTTTTGCGTAAGTACATAGTAGCAGCGAAGAATTGCTTGCTGGTGCCTTGATCCAAATTCTTTGACCATGTACTCCAAGGTATCCCTAATGTGTCCACTTCTTGGTAGAAAAACAGTAGATGACTTGTATTCTAGATATGGAACCTCTCAAATTTCAGGTGAACTATATTATTCAGAACTACAGGACACGCGCCAAGCCATTTCATGATTTGATCCTGATTGGGCAGACGATAATTCTATAGCCTCTTCC